TCTAATCTCTTGCATTCAAAGTCAGTCGATTGACAGTGTATTGCATTGTTATCGTGCTGCTCGTTTCATTAAATGCACCACACCCAGCGTCCAAGTTCGGCTTCTCGAGCAGGATGAACGTCCGATGGATATTGAACAAGTGGTGAAGCATTCCCTTCAAAATATTTTTTGCAATCAACATGCAATTATTGACACCAATATTATAGCAATATGAATGCAATAATTACTGTTGATTGCAATTTTAGAGCACCACGACAACAATAAGATTGCAACTTCATTACATTCCTATTACAATATGCTTGAATGTAATATAAGAGCATTAGAATTGCAATCGATTGCAATAATTCAACTCTGCTATTACATCCTATCACAATATTACTTTCAAATAATTGCATTTTTATTGTAATAATTATTTTTTATGGGCTGTAAACTCGAAATAGAGTCTCTTCCGTCTGGAGTTTTCTAATGGCAGAGTTGGGGCATGAAGGCCTTAGGGCAATGGGAACATCTTGCAAGAAGCAGTGAAGCATCACGATGGAAACTGCGGGGGATCCGCGACGGCACGGGCTGCCATTTCTCTTCGAGCGTCGCTCGAGCACAATCTCGGCAATCCGATCTCCCGCTAGAATGAGCGTTCGTGGGAGGCTTTGAGGGTGAAGGGTTCGTCAGGTTCGGCCATCAACCAGTAATTTAGGTGATCTCATCGCAGTCAAGAATGGAGTGCCATGCTTCCAACTGCTTTCAGGGACCTCTTATGAGACGAATTCGCACCGTCAGTCTCGTCACACGATATTGATCCATGCTGACATGAAACATGGTAATACGATACAGATCCATATGATCGCATTTCCAGAATGAAGGCTTTCGATCCCGAGTGATGAGACTTTTCTCGTTGAGAGTAATCCTACGCGCCGGTAAGGAAAAAGCAGTTTAGCAAACGGAAGAGAACTTGCAACCATCTGTATTTCGCAATATTACGTCCCTTTCAGCTGTTTTTTACTCATTTATTAATTTGCAAAAGGTGGGCTTCACTCGATGCGCCGTCATGAAAAACAGCTGTCACTGAACTACGGTGGTTTCTCTTCACTTTCACGGTTGATTTGCCATTGTATTGAAAATAACGAAATTCATGGTCTGAACTTGAATTCATTGATTAATGCTTAGTCATTCACTACAAACAAACAAAAAAGTATTAAATACGTGAAGGAATTCAGAACAGCCAACAATGCGCGCAGTAATGCGTCTGCGATTGTTCCATGCTGAAAGACCGAACCTGATGGCCTCTGGGACGGATTTTAGGGAGACGATGGCGCGTTTCATCACGTTAGAAGTGACTGTTCAGACGAGAGGTTGAGTTACCCGAGGACAACATTTTCCTGTTGGTGCTTTAGGTGACGAGAATTTCGATCACGGAAAGTCTCGCAAGGCTCTCGAAGGGCTGCATATATTCCTTCGACCCCGACTTTCAATGAAGTGGATTTACAGTCACAAGACGCATGACAACTGAGTCGAGCATATCACAAACAGAGTAGCCAATTCCACGAGACCTGTAATCCATCACGTCAGATCAGTAACTCCAAGATTGGCTGTAGCGGGTGTGTGAGTGGCGACCAGCCTACTTAAAGTCGACCTCCACCCGATACTGATCCCTTTTCCTTACAAGTCAGAATGAGTTCCCTCACGCAATACCTTTTATTTACACGAGGTGCGAATAACGAGGGCTGCTTCGTACATCGAGTTCGTTCATAGCTGGAAGATTGGCGAATGTCCTTCAGCGAGAATCGGCAGATCTTGTCCTAGAATGCATTCCGTAGTGTTCGATTCCAGCTTGACGTTCTGTAGTTGATCAGACTCGAAACTCCCATAATTTTCTCCTAGCCAGTCGCAGAGAATGGGTTCCGCCTCCATACTGGGCAGGGATGTCCAGAGTAACCATCACTCGAGACTTCAGAGTGTTGTAGGTGATGTTTGATAACACTTGGTTTGAAAACAATTCATCCATCATCGTTCGCCCTGTTTACGGCACTCTCAAGGTCCATCACGCTCCATTACTTCGCATTAGCCCCTCGATGGCGCCCCCAACGGAAACATAGAGAAACTGCAGAGAAAACTGGTTTCTACGTTAAGGATTCCACAAACAAAGCTGATTTTAAGTGCCAATTCACCACTGACCATTCCGACGGTCCTGATCTCTGTCACGGACCTCGGTCCGTGAGTATGAAATACGTCTTTTATCACTTCTGGAGCAGACTTAGAACCCCAGACTTGTTGAAACTTACCCGACATTCGCATCGCGAAAGCAGACGCGAAACATTAAGAAGATTCCACGTTTGGATGAAATAAGTGAATCTGAGGTGTCAAGAAGTAACACTGCGGTCAAAGGGACAATCGAAGACGGATGGCAGGACACTGCGAAATGCTACGACTCGGCCGAGTATTCAAGACAGAGTCAGTTTAATTGACATGAAGGTGACTCGAAGGAAAAGTTGTCGTAGGTTTCTTCTTGGCCAGACGAGTGTTTCCATTCCGATGTATCTCCTCTGCTCCATTTTCGTTCGCGTGAGTCCTTTCCTGTTAGAAAAAAAATCCGGAGGAAGGGTTCAGAGAGTCAAACCGCATACATGATAGATTATATAAATCAGCATACTGGTAAAAGCGGAGGTGAAATGGAACGGAGATGGGATTGGAAGGTTCGATGGTTATCGAAACCTGTTCTGCGTCTTTATAGTCCTTTCGCTGTACTTGTTACTTCCATATAATGGTTGTTAAGGACGACATGTCTTCTGGAAGCATAGGAAAACCTTCCCTTCCCACTCGAAGATAAAGGCCTCCTCCGCACTTCATGTAAAAGCACTGGATATATTAGCCATTCTATGCATTGCTCTATTCTCTTGGCTGGTTTGCAGGCATTGCCTCCACCCACTAAGTTTTCATTTCAAGGATTAGTTCAATTTAAAGAAAGCTGAATTTGAATTACAAAGGTACCGTTCGTTACCGATCTAGGACGTTCTCAGGTCTCTTCGACGACTGACATGGTTTTAAGTATTAAAGTTAAAGTTTAAGATATTCGTAGGTCGTAGGCCCAAATTGACCTCGCTGAAAGCTGTACACTGCCATAAAAGTAGCTCTGTGTCCTCGATAAAATTACTCGTACTTGTTTTGGTTGAGAAACTGGAATCGTGCAGTAAAAGGGATGATGATGGAGGTTTTGAAGAATGACATCATCTCCAGGAATCAGCGCAGGAAAGATGATTGATATCCGGGAAATAAACAAGTTTTTTCTTCTATTTTAGATAGGCCTAGAAAAAAAAACAGAGGAAAATGAGAACCAGTCTTGGAGCCTATCGGGCGATCTGGAGGTTCACCTACGTGTAGGGGCGTCCTTGCCAGATTCTTCCTCGAATCCACTTTCGCAATCCATTTTATCGTCATGTATCCATCACCAGTCCTTGAAGACTCTCCCTCTTCTATTCCATAACCGATACCAGGACAAGTACTTTTGTGGGCGGGCTTATTCCAGTCCTGCGTCGTCTCTCTCTTTCGCTGCACGAATATCGTTCGCGAATCCCAGACCGTGTCCCATTGTCGTTGAGCGAATCCAATTATCGGTGAGTGAATTCGATCATTGGCAGGCAAATATCATTATTGGCAGGTAAATATCATTATAGGTCGACGGATCTCATTATTGGTGGGAATGCACTCGAGGCAAAGAGAGGAGACGGCTCGGGCGTTGATATTAAAACGTTGAGCGTTGATGGCACCACCTTCTCTCTCACATTAGACCATGCAAATTCAGACCGAATCACTTCCATTAATCGAAATTGATGATATCACAAAATGAAAGTGAATGAACATTTGGAAGCAGCGTGATCGAAACGATAACGAACTGGGGCGTGATCCTTGTAAACTCCATTGCCATGACCTACTTACAGTATATACTAGAGATAGCAGGAAAAATGAGGCAGAAGCCTGCTCGGAATAAGGCTCACTAATGGGTCGGTCACGCACGATGAGAATTAACGAAGGTTTCAATTGTGCATAACGCGAGAGAATGGTAATTATGTAGGAAATGTTATCTATGAAAACTTCCCGGAAAATTTCTTGCGAAATCCTCTGGAGCGACTGGGAGCTCCATGCCCTCCATTTCAGGAGTTTTTTAGGATTTCATATGCCACCTGTCAAAAGTCTCATTGCATTTTTGCATCATAAATTTGATAAATGTGAGCGCATGGATTCTATGGAAGTTATGATGAATTTCATGCCAGAGATGAAACCAGAAATGAAACCAGAAATATTCATCTTGAAGGAAAATGTTTGAATGACCGTTCTCCGTGCTGACAGGTACCATTTGTTGATATTGCGAGAAATGTGAACTGCAGTATTTTATGCAGGAAATTCCGGTGGTTATGGAAGCTCATAAGCTTCCACAACCAGCGAAATTTAATATGTAATATCATTCAGTGAAAGCGTTGAAAATGAGACTTTCGTGCGCATAAAGGGCTAAAAAAAAAAATAGATTATAAAAAAAATTAAGGGGGTAAAAGCTGGTTACATGGTAGATTTCACAATATGAATCTCAGCAGCCGCCAACATTTATTTTATTTTGCCTAATAGGCTTTATCACCGATAAAAAGTCATCGTGGAGGACGAATTAGGATAAATCTCAATGATCGTAAGACGTGGACGTGAACATACTGCAAAAACGGCACCTCCGGCATTCGAGAATCTACCCTGTCCGTATATGGAAAAGGGGGAAGGAAGACAAAGGCCTATGATGACGCGAGGAGGAATCCGACCCATCTCAAATATCATTCCCGATCACCCAGTCAAGGAGTTATGATGCCGTCATACTCGTTCCGTACAGAGTGGGTCGGCGTGTTGTGGGCCCAGATATAGTGTTGCGGACCCAGGTGCAGTGCTCGGCGTGTCATCGCTAGGTCCCTCCCTCTGTTGTTTGCCTCGTCAGCGATTATCACTTCCTTTCCTTTCCTCTGTTTCAGGTCGAGGAGCAGTGATCATTTTCACAGAAACTAATCCTATTTAAAGCGCTAATTAATATAATTCCTAATCATGGCGGACCTGGAGGGAGTCCAGGATATCAATCGAATTACGGATGAAGACTTACTGCGAAGACTTGTGAGTCCCCATTCATGTACCTTTCATTATCACTTGGCAACCATGTCTTTATACTCCAAGTGTATTGAATGTGAAGAAAATTGCAATTTGCCGAGGCATGATAATATCAATTAGTTGCTGAAAGTGCACATCAACAATCGCATGGTGTAAGGATATGAACAGGATCCGATTTTTATTCTACCTATTTTTTAAGTGTTTTATTTATTTATTTATTACTAAGAAAAAGATGGGGTCGTAACTAGAAAGGGTCCAGTTTAATATGGTGTTAATTATGCTGTTAGAAAATATTTATAAATTTAACTAGAATGTATAATATTGGACTCAATGTGTCCGGTTAGCCGCCGAAGACATATCATTTCATATCAGGTCATTTAAAAACTCTTTTAAAATCCACCATCCGCCAAAGATATGGCGAGTTAAACATCTTAGTGATAACCTGCCTGTGATGGCTATGCTGCTCATGAGAAATCTGCCTTTGTGTAGAATGTGTTACATTTTTCCAGAAGTATAATTCACTAGTATGTAACTTGTTTCTACTTGAAGCTGTAATTGGGAGAGTCACATACGAATAGTGCCTCTTTGTATTCGTGCTTTTGTTGAAAATGATCGCAGAAAAATGATGAAAAAACCTAAGTTGTTGGCAATTTTTGGCACGAGTATCGTTTGTCTGTTGATTCCAACCAGCGCTTCGGAATAAGATTCGCCAGATTTTGTCCGAACTCCACAGGAATGAATTTCGATTTTCATAGCAACAGTTTTCCTTCTTTCAAATTCAACCGGAAGACCGAGTCCGAAGTCCAAGCTTAGGGTGGATTTTTGAACAGAGAACTATCCGATAATGCAGCTTTATTCCAACTAAAATGCATGCTATTTTCCTTGGAATAAAGCTGCATTATCGGATAGTTCTCTGAGTGGATTTTTTGAACAGAGAACTATCCGATAATGCAGCTTTATTCCAACTAAAATGCATGCTATTTTCCTTGGAATAAAGCTGCATTATCGGATAGTTCTCTGTTCAAAAATCCACCCTTAGTCTTCGGAATGCCACGAAAAAAGGGCTCAGATGGGCAAGGATGATGAAATCAGCAGTATTAGCTCTCTACACTATTGGAGGTCCATGCCAATAATAGGAATTGGTTAAAAGTTCCTTCTATAACGAGGCTATAAGCCGTTCCAGTTACGCTGATAAATGCCTATTAGGTAGATAATATACGGTTAATAATTATTAGGCTTTCAAGCTACGACCCCAAAGGATCCTATACTACTAATTATTTCAGTTCGGAATAACCAGCCCGAGTAATTAAAAAAGTAGGTGAATTATCATAAATCATGTCAGTAAGAAATTACCAATTAAATTTGAGAGGGAAGGTATCTTTGACGTTTCACAGTTCTTTCTCATATTGATAAGCTACAATGAGCATTTTCTCTATTTTTCTCTCCCACGACAGTGTCAGAAGACAAAAGACTTCAGCGAAAAGAAAAAGATTCGGGCGCGGATGTCGAAGCTACGAGAGCAACGACTCTCGGAATTCTACTCGTCTGAGGCGATCGAAAGCGCCGGAGCCACAGAGAGATCGGAATTTCATATCGAGACCGGAGAGCGTGCTGCATCCAGCCCTGAGCCCAACATCGAGGTCCTGATGGACGTCGGGTCCGACGGAGCCCGCACGGAGTCCATCACGGCACACAACGTCCGCATCGGTGGCATCACCATGCGGGCTCCCGGCGGAGGTCACATCACCTCGATGACGACTGCAGGTGGCGAGGTGACCGTTTCCAGCAACCGGTCCTTCTCTGCCGAGGACATAATTCAAGAGAGAATCCGACAGCGGAGCCTGGAGCGAGGGCGACGCTTGCAAGAGGTCATGAACAGGATGAATACCGGTGGGGATGGAGACAAAGTCGGGACCCAGGAAAAGGTGGTGATCGTAGACACGAATCCCCTCGAAGGCGACGAGACCGTGGTGTCCATCACCAAGTCCACGTACTACATGCAATCCAGTGCTCTGGCTGGAGAGTCGTTCATGTCCATGAAGTCTCGCGAAGTCGCCGACTCCGCTTCCCCGCAACTCGGCCAACGGAAGGTGATCGGCAGCTACAAAGCCCAATCGGCCTTGGAATACCATGCCGATTCTCACAGCGACGACGAAGATGAACTCGCCGTCGAAAAGAAGACAGAGAGCGTGAAGAAGACGGTGAGAGACGAGAAGACATCCGTGCGAAAGACCGCCATCGGGGAGAGCGCAGGGACGAGGAAGATGTCGACCGAACGAAAGACATCGGCGACCGGCATCCCATCTCGCAAACCCTCGACCGGCTCAGTCGGCCGCAAAAACAGCGACGCCGAAGCCAAAGCGAAAGAGAAAGTTAAACCCGAGACCGAGAAGAGCCCAAAGAGGAAGGCATCGACCGACGATGAGGGCTCGACCAGTCCGGGTCAGCGATCCCCGAGACGCCTTTCGGCCAACGGACAGCGCAAGCGATCCGAGACGCGATACCTGGAGATCGTGCCGGGTCAGACCGAGAAGGACTGGGAAGAAGTGCAGATGGCCGACTCCGAAAAGAACATCAGTTCCACTCTCGTAATCCATTCCGGGAGTGCCCAAGACACCACGACCGAAGAAGTCCCAGAAGTAGTCACCAAGACCTATCACGCGGAAACGAGTCAGGAACAGACCGAGGATCAGCCAGCGATGAAGACGTCTTCCACTTCCACCTACACGATTTCTCACGGCCCGAACGAACTGACGAAGACTTCCACTTCCTCCACCCGCAAGGTCTACGAATACGTCCACGAGGAGAAGATGCCCTCCACGACTACGGTGACGACGACGAGGCCTCTGACGCAAACCTGGACCCGTGAGACCCACGAAACTGTCACCGGGGCCACTGAGCCCCTCTATCATTCTACTGTGGAATATCTCCCAGCCGAAATTCCATCGGACAGCGTCCACCGAACCCCGTCTTTGGGCAGCCAGATCAACGACCTGGCCAAGTCGGAAGCAACGCTATCGCAGGACAGCGAAGTGGAAGAGATCATGAGCGGACGATACGAGACTTCCCGACGGGAGAAACGAGTGCACACGATTCGTCGCATCGACCAGAAGACTGAAGAGATGGCTACTGAAAAAATCGAAGAGTATCTCGAGGCACCCGCGTCCGGCACGCGCAAGGACACGTCATCTGCCGTCGTCATCACGGAAGTAAAGGAAAAACACGCGACCACGGACGACAGACGCCCAAAATCGCCGGAGTCGACCCCGAAGCGCAAGACGTCTGACGTCACTGTCCCTCGAGGCAAGACATCCCCATCGCAGTCTGACGCCACGCCCACCGGCCCCAAGGCGAAGCCTGAGCGAAAGAGCTCCCTCACGAAGATCCGACCCGTTTCTCCTGGCAAAGAGAAGACCGACAGACCGAAGTCTCCCCGGAAAACGTCTTCTCCGACGGTCGACAAATCGGAGACGAAGCCAAAAGAGGAGTCTCCCGAGAAACCAGTAGAGGATAAACCAGAAGGAAAACGCGAGCAGGATAAGCTGGAACATCGCCCCGAAGGAATGGACATTCTCACCGTCTGGACGACTTACCGCCTCACGACTCTCGACGTCGTCACTTATTGGCAGCGCAGGGAGGTCACAACGGATGAAATCATCATTCTCATCACTGGGAAGTTCATCTTGATCGAGGACATCGAGGACATGGACCTACTGGATAAAATGGTGAGTGAAATGCAATTCCTTGAGTTCGAAATTTTCCGCGACGATTTTTAGTTCTTGACGAATCTCGTCACACAGTTGGACGTGTCGACGGAGTCAGAAGTGCGACGCTACATCCGCACCCAGATCCGCAAGCTACGTCGAAGGACGAAGGACACTGTCACGATGGAAGACTCCGTGAAGACCAGCACGGACAGACGGACACTAGAAGAAAAAACGATCCGTAAGACCGTGGAAGAAACCACAAAGAGATCCGAATCCCCCGGAGAGTCCAAGCCGACGAAGGCAGTGGAAGCAGAGGAGAAACCTCGAGAATCGGCCTTCCGTCGTCCCCGCAGTCTCGCAACCCAGCCAGCGGACGAAGCGCCATCCAGGCCCCGTTCCTTCCCTAAGGAGATCCCATCCGGACGTACCAGTCCGGGAAAGTCTCCCTCTGACAATTTAGTGCGGAAGCCATCGAAGTCCAAGTTGAAGGTGTCTCCTGTCGAAAAGGCCCCTACCAAACCGGCAGATGCTCCCGAAGAGGTCCCAACAAAACCGGAAGAGAAACCGGCAGGAGAGAAACCTAGCAAGCCATCTCAAACTGAATCGCCAGGAGATTTGCCCGAAAAGGTGGAGGAATTCCCACCATATCCAGGCGAACAACAGCCACCAGAACAAGTAATTCGACAACCCTCCACGACTGAACTTTCAATCGAAGAGGTGACGCCGATAGACGCTCACCCTCGTGCCATCCAGCCAATCGACATTCACCCTCGTGCTATCAAACCAGTCGTCCTCCGACCTTCCGAGACCCCCGAAGAGCTGAAGCCTCACAACGTCCCGGCCGAAGCGTCAAAGCCGACGGAGCCAGAAAAACAGAAACCAGAGGAAATGAAACCCTCCATCACCGAGACCAAGTCGAAACCCGAGGAAATCACACCCCAGAAAGCAGAAGCAAAGATCCCCGAAACGACACAAAAACGTCGCCCTTCCGACAAGGGAATGCCCAAACCGGAAGACACCCCCAAGACCACCGACAAATCGGCTCCAGCCCCCTCGAAGCCCGTGGAGGCTCCTAAAGACCAGCCCAAGCGAAAGACCGACACCTGGATTAAGCCGAAAGATAAGCCTGTCGATACGGCCACCGACAAAAGTAAGCCCACTGGACCGACCAAAGTGTCGGCCCTGCTGTCTCGGTTCGAGAAACCCACGGAAGAGGCTCCAGAGAAAGCACCACAGCAACGGCCATCGTCGAAGAAGGTTCCCAAGGGAGTCGTTCCGAAGGTGACAGAAACAGTCACAGTTCCTAAAGAAATCCCGAAGGAGGGAACGCCATCACAGATGGCTCTTCAGAAGGCTCCAGAACGGGTCTCCCCCTCGAAGACAGCTCCGATTGAAGCGCCAAAAGAGAAAAAACCATCGACGGAGACCCCTCGAGCCGTGCCGCAAGAGAAAGCACCATCGATGGAGGCACCTCGAGAGACACCTCGGGACAGGGTACCTCTGGAGACCACCGACAAGAAAGTCCCACAAGAAAAGCTACCACAGAAGGGAACTCCTAAGATAACTTCCCCAGAGGAAACGCCTTCGCACCCAGACATCAGAAAGCCGACGGAGGAGAAGCCCGAGCCAACCCTCACGGAGAAGCGAGTAGAAAAACCCGCAGAGGAATCTCCACGACGAGTGTCCAGGCCTTCACAGCCTGAAGATTCCGTCTCCCCCGCGCTCCTCACGGCACCCCAAACGACCAAACCGACAGAAGCAAAGCCAGAGGAAGTTACGGCCCCTGTGCCACACAAATCGACTAAGAAAGTACTGTCACGTTTCCAAGAGAAACTGCCAGAGCAGGAGAAACCACTCAAATCCTCTCCGGTGCAGAAAAAACCCGAAAAGACGCAGCCAAGCCAAGATACTCCGACGGAGGTATCTACAAAGGTACTCGAGATTTCAAAACCGAAACCAGAAAGAAACGCACCCGATAAGAAGCAATCAGTTTTATCGGCTCCTGGGAAAGTGAGTGCCATCATGGAAAAATTCTCGGCAGCCAAGGAAGCACCAGCGAAGTCTGAAAGGCCAAAGGCTCCGAGTTCGACACCTGTAGGGACTGCAAAGACACGAGTTGAGCCGATGCCGATCGAAGAAACTCACGAGGTGACACCCAGGGAACAGGCACCCGATAAAGAAGAAATAGAAAAGATCCCTGATAGAGAACGTCCGAAAGAACTGCGATCGAAACCGGTGAAACCGGAGACACCCAAAAAGGCTCCAGAAGAGGCATTGGAAATTCCCAAGCACGTTCTCAAGGAAACCCCAGCCGCTCCCAAGGACACCCCAGCCGCTCCCAGGGATACCCCAGCCGCTCCCAGGGACACCCCAGCCGCTCCCAGGGACACCCCAGCCGCTCCCAGGGACACCCTAGACGCTCCCAGGGATACCCCAGCCGCTCCCAGGGACACCCTAGACGCTCCCAGGGACATCCCAGACGCTCCCAGGGACACCCCAGACGCTCCCAAGGACATCCCAGACGCTCCCAGGGACACCCCAGACGCTCCCAAGGACACTTCAGACGCTCCTCATCCAGACGAGGAAGAATCGGAGAAGTCACCGACGGTGATGAGTCTCATCAATCGATTTGAAACCCCCCAGGAACAGCCAGAAGAGACTCGTCCACGGCTCCCAGCTGGGATGGACCACGAACAACCCCTGGAGGGTCCACGGATCCCGGAGGAAGAACCCTACCAGAAACCCGAGGGCATGGACGTTCTCGAGTTTTGGGATACCTACGAAGTAAATGCTCATGACATCGTGGCCATGTACATCTATAAGGAGCTCACCATCGAGGAAGTCATGAAGCTGATCGTGCAGAAGAAGATAGTGGTTCGAGAGATAAAGGACGTCCCAACACTACACAAAATGGTGCTCGAAAAAATCATTTACGAAAAGAAAATAATAAAATCATTCAAAAAATTATTTTTGAAAAAAAAAACTTTATAAAGCGTGGAAATACTTCAACAAAATAATTATTTTCAATTTAGTTGGACGTGGTGAAAGACAACAAGCTGAACCAGGAGATCGTGCAACACCTGGAGGTGTTGGTGTCTCCAGGGAAGAAGCCGGGTCCAGAGGGCGAGGCTCCGGCAAAAGCCCCAGAGGTCCCGAAGAAGCCGGTCCGCGAGAAATCCACAGAGAAGCCAGTACAAGAGAAGTCCCCTGAAAAGTCTCATGGGAAGCCAGTGAAGCCCAAGGATACCAAGGGAAAGCAGAAGGTGAAGACGACCAAGTCTTCCGCACCGGAGGAGGAGGAAGAGATCGTGGTGATCTGGAGGACACAAAAATTCTCTGCCAAGGACCTGGTTGGGTTCTGGCTCACCAAGCAGATCACCATCCAAGAGATCGTCACCCTCATCCGATTCCGACTGGTCATCATCGAGGAAATCCTGGATATTAGCATCCTGGAGGAAGTGGTAAAGTTTCCCTTCTTTCTTTTCCTCTTGTTGTTCACCATCGTGGAAGCTCGGGAAAAATTGCTAATTTTCTCCAAGATGTCCCACGAAGATACCTGATTTCCCTCCGCCCCCCTTGCGTGGCATTCATGTTTTGTCGTACCAGGGGAAGGAGGAATAATAGAAATATGATGAAGCAGGTGTTCAGTTCAAAATTCTACCTATGTATGAGTACGTCTTCTTTCCATGGATCCGATGCGGAACACATCTACCCTGGGGAAAATGATCGGCCCACTACTGGAAAAGACAATTTTCGAATTAACCCGAGGCCTATTTGTCTCATAAATGAACGCATAAGTATCATGAGGCTTCTGTGATGGTTTATAAATCTGTCGTTTCTGATCACCGGAATCACATTCAGAATGATTGTCATCAAGACAGACGCATGTCACATCCTTGTCTTCTCACCCTATTACCTAGGTATATTGCACATACCGCACAATTTGAATAAGGAAGTCGTCTCTGGGAGATAGGATAATTTAAAATAAATACTATTCAATATGTTTTAACCTTTCTTTGGAGCAACCTGAACCGGTCTTTCACACACCATCAATATAGGCAGGGAGCAGAAGGAATTATATGAACTCCGACTCAGTCGACAGTTTCCGACAGAGCAGGGTTTCTTGTACTTCCATCCAACCGTAATTTTCTTAACTTCGAGGGAAAATTTGAGTCAACCGTTCCTTTCCGAACAATCAGCCGGAAGCGTCCCATTCTTAATTGCGATATTGATGTCCCCTTACAGTTGAAGGTGGTTCGGGAATATGACCTAACGAGCCGAGTGCGAGCGCAGATCCGTCACCTTAAACGGACGGGTTTGAAGTTGGTGCCAGCAGACGACATCCCCAAGGACACTCTCACCTACACCGTCCAGCTGGTGGACGGCGTGGAAGACGTATTGACGAAGCCGACGTCCCGCACGGCCTCGCCTGCGACCCGACCCACCAAGTCCCCGACCGGGAAGGCAACGAAACAGGAGGAGAAGAAGACACCGCGACGGCCGAAGACAGAAGACAAGCGGCCGGAGGAGACGAAGCCGGGGAAACGATCGGAGAAGCCCCAGGCACCTGGTGACACGGACAAGCCGCGGAAGCCATCCGACGCGGAAAAGCCGCAGAAGCCATCTGACAAATTCGACAAGTATATGGACCAAGTGAAGAACTCAGCCCTGGAGAAACTCGAAGCAGTTCTCGACCAAGCGGGCATGGAGTTCCCCGAATCGCTCCAACCTGAAAGCCCCGTTAAACCCAAGGAAGCTCCGATCGACGAGAAGAAACCGTCCAAGTCGCCCAAGCCGTCTGACGCGACTCCGACGAGCAAGTCACCTACCAAGACGAAGGACAAACCGAAATCTAAGCCCAAGTCTCCGACGGAGATCTCATCGGACGAAAAACCGCTGGAACGAGAGAGTCGATCTCCCGTTCGAAAAACCAGACAGCCGACATCCAAGGCTCCCCAGACTACGGCACCGATAAGTTCCTTGACGAAACCTTCGGCGGTAAAGCCGACGGACGTGCGTACAGCAAGTCCGTTCCGCACGGAGGACCGGGCCCGAGGTCGCCCGTGCTGCTCGAACGAGGTCCCGGATGCGACTAAGCCACTAGTTCGCACCAGTAAGACACCTTCACGTGTCACCCCTGGCAAGGTCAGCCCCCAGAAAAAGGACCGGACGGAGCTTCCGACGGAAGACAGGCCGAACCAGAAGGTCCCCGGACAGTTGGAAACTCAGAAATCGCTCGACCTGAAAAACTTGGAACCCAAGACGGAGCGAAAGCCGCGTCCAGCCGACGACAACGTCCCAAGCTACATGAAGCCTCAAGATCGGACGCCCAGAATGAACGAAGCACGACCCAGATCTACATCCCCGCTGAAGTCGGTGAAACAGCCGGGCAGATCACCCGCATCCACCTCGAAGCCCGAGAGACCGAGCAGATCCACGTCCGAGTCCACGTCGCTGCTGCCACTGCCCTCTGTGGCTGAGGGCGAAGTTCCAGACATCGTGGAGGTCTTCTTCCAGAACAAGTTCACCGTCGAGGACCTCGTCCAGTTCTTCTACCGGCAGGAGATCACCATCGAGGAGATCATCATCCTCATCTTCTTTCAGGTCATCACCATCGAGGAGATCCACGAGGTCGTCATCCTCCGTGAACTCGTCAGTGTCATCCTGAGTTTCTTTCTCACGTTTCTCCCACAAAGTTCATTTTCTTGGTCGAGGTTGGTTTTGTACAAAAACAGACCAATATCTGATTTCAGATTAATATCGGTCTCAAGATCGAGTGCCAGCAATGCAGAAACTAAAAATTTGAGAGCTTGAAACCAATCCCGTGTTGTGATGAGAATCAGTACCTTGAAGCATACTTACGTCTCTTCCTCACGAATGTCATTATGAACAGTCACGCTGGATCTTCAATGCAATTTTCCCTTAAATCTTTTACAATTCCGCCGATTTGTTGGAGTCCTTCCCTTTGAGGGAAGAGACCCTCAGTGAGGGTCTCTTTCCTCCACGAGCATTCCCATAGTGAAACTGATACGAGGTTTCATAATTAATACCAATGAAAATATTATATAAATACAACGCAAAATATCATGTAAATATTTATAGATAATAAATTTAATATGAATGAAGATAAATTATTGCGAAGTTCTAGACATTAGGTCGATGATATTGGGTCTGTGGACCGTGTCTGTTTGCCAATTTCAGTATTGTCTGAAGTTGAGTGGAAATGGTTAATTCCTCTATGCCAGCACTATATGCAAGACCGGTTCCGCAAAAGTACGCATCGTCCTACCTGCATTCCAGACAGGTCCTAGTCTGAAATCAGACGTAATTCTGATTCACTGAATCCCAAAGACGTAATCTCAAGGTCAGTGTGAAGACCGGTCCTCGACCATATTTCGTCGTCCAGACGTTATCCTTAACGCCTTGACGGCGACTGCTCCTCCCTTTACATGTTTATGACGCTCACTTATACGTCATCAGCGACAAAACCAGACTCGAGGCCGAGCTCGAGATAGATTCCGGAGTTGCTTCGTTGAACAGACCCAGTTCGCAGAGCATGAACCGCTACGTACAGAGGACTGACTTCCATTGCTGAATTGCCAATATGGCAGTATGGTGGGACTGCATGGCTTTTTCAGTGTGCGTTCCGAAGTATCGCAAAACTTTTCAATTATTCCTCCCTATTCCCTTCTATATCCTTGCCGCTCCTTATTGTCCTTGTGTTCACGCATTTCATCAAGGACTAGTACCGACTCGGTGAGTCACCTTTGTACAAGAGAGAGAGGCAGATCTCTCGGGACGAGGTGGCGAAGCGGGTCCAATCGGTCCTCTTTTTCGTAGCGTTCTTCATTTCGAGTCTGTAATCCCCCTCAAATGGTTCTTGAAACATAGGGTGGATTTTTGAACAGAGCACTATCCGATAATGCAGCTTTATTTACCGGATTTATAATGCATTTTCTCTGAAATAAAGCTGCATCATCGGATAGTGCTCTGTTCAAAAATCCACCCTTAGTTTAAGAAATAAATTAAAGACGGGACAAGCAGCGGACACATACAACGACGGACGTGTGAGAGAGTGCCTGCTTGGCACAGACACGGAGACCAAGATCACAGTCCCTCTGGGAGGAGCGCCCCTCCACGGTCTTGTTGAGGGCCAAAGGGGCGGTTCACGGGTTACCCAGGTCCTTGACTGGAACGAGTGATAATGAGTGTTCTGCATCACCTAAACGTGGGAAATAGAGAGGCGTGTGTACTCCCACGCCATATCTTCCCTATGAAAGTGGATGGGTTACCGGAGAAGGAGTCCTCCGCCACTAGACTCGATTCCACCCATCTTCCGGTTCCACTCGGAAGTCCGAACCATTCGGCCAACGAATCGGGCTTGTTCTCCAGATAAGTCTCGGACAGATTTCTCGCGACAGACGCTTCACGCATGACTAGACTGAAGACTGATTTCGAGACCGGTCTTACAAGTTTAGAAGCTCTGTAGTTGAGACCCACTGTCTCGAGCATTTTTGGATGCCAGTGCAGCCTTGCAGGTGGAACGATCCTCTCTGTCCTAGCAGATCCTGTACGATTGGGACGAGGAGACTCAAGATTTCCTCCAGCAGAAGATCCGGGAATCGACGTCTCCGACCAAGAAGTCTCCGATTCCGAAACCGAGCCAGGTGGACACCCAGGCCGACGTGCCCACCGCCAAAGTCATCAGTGACATCGACACGATGATCGTGCCATCCAAGCCGGTCATCGAGAACGGCCGGGACACGAGCCCAGAGCCTAAGAGACCAGATGACGTCCTTGAACATCCCTCCCCCAAGACGACCGCACCCGGGAAGCTGGCCAAGGACAAGTGGCCGTTCGAGTCCACGAAGGTGACACCGTCGTCCAGAAAGGATTCAGTGCCTAAAACAGTGGACGAGGAAGTGGTGACGAGGACCCGGGAGACTGTCGTCTTGTGGTTGAAGAAGGAGATCACTGTCGAAATTGTCATGACCCTCATCGTCCAGAAACTCATCTGCATTGAAGAGATCTTCGAACTGACCCTCTTGGAAAAATTGGTCTGTCTTTCATTCATTCCCATCTCACTCTTATTTCATGTCCTCTTGAATAATCAAGTTTCGACTGAGGCAATCCCCCCCTCTCCCTTTTTGTCCCCTTCACATAGTAAGTATTTATGGAACTTTGGAAATTCCCATTCCAAATCTTTAAAGATGACATGAAGTGGCAATAGACCTGTTCCATGTTTTCGAAATTCATCCATTGCAATAGTATAATAGCATGTTTCCATTCCTGTTAATTCCCAGTTAAACATGATTTCGCGCCTCATTTTTGTGTTCCCAAATTTTAATTTAAACAAAAATTGGAGATGCGAGTTCCCCTTCAAGTTTAAAAAATTTGAATACAAGTTCTTATTTTGTTGGCGTGTTTTGCGACTGTGCAGTATTCGAGTTCGCCAAGTTAGATTACCGAGTCGAACCGAAAAAAGTTTTCCTCACGTGTTATTGTGTGAACAGGTGGAGGTATCCCGAGACTATGAGATCCGTCGCCAGGTGAGAAATCAGATCCGGACGTTGAGAAGTAAGGAGATTCCAACTACCCCGGAGACTTCCCATACTAGGTCAGTTCACCCGTCAGGCCCCAATCCCACTTTCCACCACCTTGTTCCCCTTTCCAAGTACCACCTCCCACAGCCTACCACCCTCGCCTCCATTCCTCAGTTACCTTCATACCTCTACCTCTCCCAATACCCTTCCCCCTTCTTCTCAATGACCTGAAATCTTAACGAAATAAAATCCTCGATCCCACACCTTTCATATGCTCCTGTTTCGTTGCCTTGAATAAACTAAGTGCGGCTAAATCCATTCTTTTTTTCTATTCGCTTTGCCATGTAGACCCGATGAGGAACAGAAGCCAGTTGACGAATCTGGACCACAACTCGGTGAGTGAAACTTTTTAAATAAGCGAAACCTAGAAAAGCAGCGCAAAAAGAGCAATGTCATTACATGATAAAAGAAATAAAAATCACGTATATCCATGCAGTGGGTAGCATTTCGGAGGTCTAAATAGTGTAGATATCAATGAAATAGTATCGTAATATATATATATATTTTTTTTTAATTCATAATCTCTGGATCTGCTAAGTCAGCAGTCCTGTTAACCCCTCAGTAGTCGCTGGTGGTATTTACCCCATTAGTAGTCGTGGGGTTTGAAAAAAATACCCCACGCGACTACTACGGGGTTAAAATGGGGCCATAAAGTCCCAATATTTATTTAAGTTTACAAAATGGAATTCACCTATGCATCCATGGACAAACAACTAACTTCTTTATTAATAGACGACTTGACTCTTTTATTCATGTGTACTTTTAGTTACTGGTTAATTCCTTGTCAGGTGGTAAAGTAGTTGGTTGCATCGCTGACTGGGATTTAGCTATAAAAAGTTATAGTTATTGGCGGTTATGGGAAACTGGCAAAAGCAAAATTTCATTAGACTAAGCCTTTGAGATTATGTTTACTCAGATTTCCGGAAACACTCCATCTGCGCCGGCAGGACTCTTAGGCAACTGCTGGTTAAAGAAACAATTACTTAAGTAATAAAAAAAGTTGGCCCAACTAAGTTCAAAGTCCTCCTATGTAAATTTCAATTAGTGAAATACTTACCTGATATTGGCCTGTTTATACCTTACGTATAAAAAAAAAGTCACTGACTATTAATATTAAGCTTTAAAGTCATATTAAGCCACGAAATGTGTCATTGGACTTGCCTTAATCAACATGAAAGACATCCCAAAAGCTCGACTCATTGCCAGCTTTCCCATTACTGAATTTATCAGTTTTAAACAATTAAAAAAAACTTTTTCCCTAAGTGAGGCAAAAAAAATCGGTCAATCCCCTAATTAAAATGAGACATTAACCAATTTTGAAGCTTCATTAAGCTTGAAGATTGCGTTTTTGTCCGAGGATTCATTTCGCCATTCCCTATCAAAATTGAAGGAGCCACATTTCAGGGACAGTTTAACTTGGAGGGGGGGGGGAGGGAGGAACAGTTCCTCATAACCTCAGTAACCATACTTTTTTACTGCTAACTCCCACTTGGAGGTGCAACTTTATTTAGACTACTTGACATAGGATGACCCCATCATTAAGCTCTACATACTGCATATTGATTCTTTTGCAATCGCCAAGTTATTAGTTTCGCGGCCGTATGTCAGTGTCAAATTTATTGATTGCATGCGAGGAATAAGTCGGGAGATGTATGCGATATCCAGTTACTCGCATGCGTATGAAGGCTTCCGGTATATCTCGCCTCTCATTAATCGGCTGGGGAGGTAATAAATCACCCTGCGGGAGGATGTCTCTGGTGGGCACTGGACACGGTTCACGGACTTTCCCCTCATGCCTTTGATACCCGGGGCCGCAGTCCGGACCTGGGACCTGTGATCGTCGCCGTCGGGCCCTCCGCGTCCCTTTCCTCATCCTGTTTTCTTTTGCCACGCTCGAAGAATAGGCTCTAACATCCGAGGAATTTCAGTGAAGTGTTGCTCGTGGGAAGCAGGCTTCGTGAATTGTGTTTGCGTCGTACTCGATACGTAAAGGTGCTTGAAATCGATACAGTCGGTATGGAGGGCCGAGAGGAGAATGAAGATATTGTTTCTTTCTATTTCCTGCTGATACTCGACCTCATTACTTCACGTACCCCACCTTCTTTGAATGCATTTTTCACCTCTTCATTGCGTTTTCAAATGCTTGAGTTTACCTCGCCAGTACTCACGATTCAGGAACCTAGGAAAGCCATAGAGATTATCATATTTGCCAACCAAGAACATTTTTTCCCACCCGCTTGCTTTCATAGTGCAACGGTACCGGAGAGGGACATCCATTCATTAACGCGATAGCCGATGGGGACACGATGACAGACAGAATGTTTCTTCCAATCCCGTTAGGCATTCGGACCTGGACGGCATGGCAAATCGTAAGAGTGCCATGTCTGGTGCCTCATCATAAAAATGTCTGAAAAAGAGAAGATGACTGCAATTATAAGATGATGATCGGGATGGCATGGAACAGCTGGCGGTTTTTCCCACACAGATCGAGACCGGAACCGACGGTTTAATGATCCCTTCCAATCCCATTTCCCTCTTCCTCGTGCAAAATTGCGAGTGGAAATAAGTGGAATTCAGCACGAAAGTGAAATGATCGTTTTCTTCCCATCCGGACAGGAATAGAAAAAAAAAAGACTTCCGTATAAAACAAACCCTTTCGCATAATTGACCCTTCATTTTCCACTCGACCACTCGTGCCGCATTTTATATCCTCTTGGATTCCAACCGCATTCCTGGTAGGCATACTTGCTTTTTTTGTGGGCTGTACCATTCGAAATTGTTTCTTCAAATTCACTGCTCATGGTTCGTCTGCTTCCTTTCTCACGTCTAGATTCATGGATAACAAATTTTCCGCTCGAATGAATAAGTATTGGATACTATTTTTAAATTGAAAAAAAAATCCGAATGCCCATAAATCTGGACCCTGCATCTAAGAGGATAAAGGAGAAGTAGCCGGGAGCGGTTTCCATCTCAATTTCGATGCAGCAGCGGACTTGGTCCCTTCGCCTTCTGGCAGGAATGGACGTACGTGATCGTAAATCGTAGATGCTTGTCGACATTTATATGCATTCCGGGACATAGAGGATATTTCAAGAGGTTTAAACAGAGAGAAATGCAAAGCGTTTCTCTCTGAGCCGACCCCCCCTGTTGCATCCTCCACTGTCGACCTTTCGCATCCTCTAATGCCGACCTTTCGTATTCTGTCTCCTCCTCTCTCTTACTGTCTCTTCTCGATCTCTTTCGCTCTCTCTCGCTCCCTCGCTTCACGCTTTTCTCTCAAGATCATATTAGGAAGGCGTCAGGTATACGATCATGGAATGAAGTTCCTTTCCAAGTTGTGGAACAAGTACTTGGTGGATTAATGGATAGTTGTTATGGGAAGGGAAAGGATGGCCATGTTCCTCATCCCACTGCGTCACTGTACGAATCAAGTTCTCATTTTCCCCTCCGTGAAATCTTCACCTGTCGTCACAATCCCATGTGAGTCTTGGGAGGAAAAACTCCCACATTTGTCCGAAGCATGGACATTTACGAGACGCGGAAATTCTTGCTCTCACCGCAATACGGCTGGATTTTCCCGTTTCTTGGAATATTGAACCCGTTATTCATGCTGCGAAATCATCTGTATTTTTTTTTACTGCATTCCTATTATTACTTCTGATGTAGTCAAATCTTGTTGCATTCACTACAATTATAGCACGATAGCTACAATATTTTGCACAGATAGAGAAAATTACTTATTTTCGAAATATCTCGCTATCATTGACTTTCCATATGGCAATTTACGATCAGTACCGAGAGAGATCCCGGATCAGCGCTTCTCCACTGTGGCTCAGATCACAGTCGGCAAGAAGCCATCAGAGAAGACTCCGGACGAGAAGCCCAGGGATAAGTCACCGGACGAAAAGAAGCCTAAAGATAAGACACCCGATGAGAAGAAGCCCAAGGATAAGTCACTTGGTGAGAAGAAGCCACTGGAGAAGACTCCCGACGAGAAACCGAAGGATAGGGTGCCCGACGAAAAGCCCAAGGATAAGGTGCCCGACGAAAAGCCCAAGGATAAGACACCCGATGAGAAGAAGCTCAGGGATAAGAAATCCGAGGAAACGCATAAGAAACCCAAAGAATCCTCCGTCGTTCGCAGGAAATCAAGCGACTCTCTTACCCACGCCAAGAAGCCTCATGAGAAGCTTCACGATATCCTTCCTCAAGAGAAGCCCCATGACACTCGTCCTCTCGAAAAGCCTCAAGAATCTCTCCTTGAAGAGAAACTTCTTGAACGGCGACCATCGCAGAAGAAACCCCATGAGAAGACAGAGTCTACTCGTCCTAGCAAGGCAAGCGACACGCCTCTGAGACGAAAATCTAGCAAGGAATCTCCCTCGACGGATGACTTACCTCGACCGCAACCCGACGACAAATCCATTCCATCTGAGAAGCGAGAGGACTCCCGACCGGGGAAGCTGACTCGTGCTTGGCCTCCCGAGAAGCCCGACGAGGCGGTGCCTCACACTTCCTCACCCCTGGAATCGAAGCCTGAGGTTATGTCTTGCACTCCTTCGCCCCTGGAATCCAAGCCCGAATCGTCCAAGAAGCCTCGCGAGACCGCACCGGAGACAACCAAGATGTAAGCTACTCTCTATCTTAAATTCCAGATCTGCCTTCGAGCAATCTCGTCAGGAACAACTCGAATTTAGGACTCCGGAGGAGGGCGAGGAACCCCGGACGTGGAAGACGCGGTTGCGTCCCTCTCGAAGCATCAGCGACGACGACGTGGCACCGGACCAAGGACAGTCGCCCGTAACCGTGGGAAGGACTCAGAGCCTGCGGGACTCCACCCGGTCTGGCGACAACGCCCACGTCACTAGACGTAGTGTTCTCGAGCGCATCCGAAGCTTCGAAGGTGACGTCTCGAATCGTTAATATTCATAACTCGTTCCAACCCGTTAACCAACTCTCTCGATAACTGTAGGTTGATACTAACCACTTTGATCGGTAGGATATTTGAGTGTGACTAACCTGCTAATGGCATTGCAGATGGGAGTGCGATGCAGAAACCCATTCACCGTACTGAGGTGCTCTTTACAAAATGGTCTCACCCTGCGTCCGAAAAGCCCCTCGTGTCTCCCGGTAAGCTCCCTCATAACCATCACGTACTGGTCCTACAACTCGTTGATACCTGACAAGCCTCAAATTCTAACTCTCCCGGCTCGTTTTCGTGATATTTAAATCGTCATGTTAATTATATCTGCTTTCGACTCGACAGAACCTGAGCAACCATCAGGACCCGAGGAAGCCACCCCTATCGAAAGGAAACCATCTGACACCCAGCAGCCTGAGATTTATCAGACCACGAAGTCACTGACAGTGGAGACCCAGCCCAAGAAAAGGAGAGTGATCGAGAAGACTTTCCGCATCCCGAGAGACCAGGATATACCAGCTCCCGAAGAACATGAATCCCCAATTCGCAAAATGTCAGATACGCCCAAGTCTCCTACTCACAAAACACCAGATGCACCCAAGTCTCCTACTCACAAAACATCAGAAGCACCCAAATTCCCGGTTCATAAAACATCAGATGCACCCAAGTCTCCTGTTCACAAAACATCAGAAGCACCCAAATTCCCGGTTCATAAAACATCAGAAGCACCCAAATCACGGACCCAAAGACGACGAGAAACGCCCGATTCCCCCGCCCAAAAACCAACAGAGACGCAAGATTCTAGTCCGATTGATTCCTCGACCCACTCGAGGAAGGTGGACGACGACACCGTGGACGAAGACATCCTCCGCCGACCCTCCCGCCTGGGACGGAATCGACCACAAGACGAAACCACGTCGAAGACCAAGACTCACGAGAGGCAGCCGAGTCAGGGCGACATCCAGCCGACACCGGAAAAGACGGAAGAGAAGGCGGGGCCGGCTAAGGCGAAGGTAGTCCGAAGATCTTCCAGCGGTCGGGTCACAGAGAAGATGCATCTCTTCGAGAAGAAGATCGAAGAACAAGAACGTGTCCAACATCATAAGGAAGATTTGCACGGTGTCGACAAGTCTTCCTCCCAGAAGACCGAGAAGACCACTACCCACATCCATCACGGGAAAGGTAAGCTGCTTTCTTCCTATATTCCCAGTTTTTAGATCACTGTCCAAGGTTGCAATTAAGGAATCACCCAATTTTGTTCGCTATAACTTTGAAAGGGATTATCGGATACAGATACAATTTGGCAGATGTTGATGGACTCACAAGGTTTTCTGTCATGCCCCCAAAATGATGGTGCATGTCGATAGGGGCGCTCTGGTTGTACATACGAGGGGAGGTCAAAAAGTTCTGAGACCAAGTCACTTCCAGGTGCAAAACACCATTCTTACTTTTATCATGGGAAGACAGATGTCTTTGATGGTGACTGGTGAAATTTCATCTTATTTGTCGATTAAGGATAGCTTCTATGAATTTTTTTTTTCAATATGCTACTAATGGGTCTGGTGAAGGGGTATTAAAATTGAGACGAATGCTGTGAGGAATTTTTTAACCTCTAAGGAGGCGACCTACCAGATCTTTCAGGGACTGAGAGGATAGAGTCCTATTGATCCTCCTCTAAAGCATTCGTCTCAATTTTAATACCCCTTCACCAGACCCATTAGTAGTATATTTTTAAAAAATTCATAGAAGCTATCTTTAATCGACAAATAAGATGAAATTTCACCAGTCACCTTCAAAGATATCTGTCTTCCTATGATAAAAGTAAGAATGGTGTATTGCAACTGGAAGTTCCTTGGTCTCAGAACTTTTTGACCTCCCCTCGTACAATGGTGAACATTGAAGAAGTCATCTAAATGATACAATGATAGGACATCAATCAACTTGCGTCGATATTGAACCACTAACATGTGAATCTTCCTCATTGCCAGTCTCTTCAAATCAAGAGTTTTTACAGTGCCTGTGAATAAAATGGTCCTGTGACGAGATTGTGTTCTATCCGGTAGGCACGGAGGGTTCTGGTAGCAGAGTTTCTATTTAGGCAATATTAATATTCGGCAATATTTTGGAAGGGTTATTATATTTTGGTTACTACACTGTGAACTGCTACATCTTGCCTCAAATGATATGAATGCCAGACATACTCCCCCTCTACTTGTCCCCGACTACCTGTTCTCCACTGTCTACCTTTGCATATGCGACCACAGCATTCCCCTTCAACATGCCGCGCCGGATGACGGGCATGACTGAAAACCTTATAAACCATCAGCCTCTCTGTTTTCAAACGCATTCGATTATCTCTTCCGAAGTATGAAAATATGAAATCAGTTGGTTCTTTGTTGCAACCCTCTGTATCTTCAAGAAAAGGAAGGAAAGGTCAAGTGTATTCAAGGAAATTCATGCAAATTATTCAGGTACTGTCCTTCTTTGGAATCATACTGAAATTCAAATCAATGTCAGATTATCTTATCATTAATTTCCCCCTACTCTTAATTTGTGCGAAACCTATTTGTAAGTTTCTTATCGACTACCTTCACGTGTCTTCCAAGTTTCAAACTATTATCCTTCATATTATGCATTATCCAAATACCGGGTGATGCACAAAAAGCGGCATGCTTGACGCTTTGCGAAACCGACTGTAGAAATGATAGATTTGTTATATTTTTATATCGCAGAGGAAACACTCTAAATTGTGTTTCCTGAAAGTTTGAAGAGTCTAGGTGGTTTGGATGCAAAGCAAGTGTTGCACACTTCAAGAAGTTTCATCTTTCTACATATTATTACAGTTTCAGCACAACTCGAAAGATTTCTTTCCTTTGGCGACATAAAGCCTATCCTCTTATGGCTGTGTTCTTGGTATAATATCCCTGACTGTACGGCGTCATCTGGCCTCAGCTAAAGAGAAAGGCCTCAATATCATGATATGCGTCGAGTAGAAAACACAAAAAAAAACGAGAGAGAAGGAAATAGTCAAAGTTTCCAATCACATTCAAAGGAAACTCGTAGCGATTATTCAATAAGGTGCACATTTACACGAAATAAGAATCTGAAGTCTGAACGATTTAAAAAATTTAAATAAAACACTGGTGATTTATGTATATTGATATGACGTGGACTCGTATGTGATGAATCCTAACAATGGGTTAGTGACATTTCAAGGATCAGCTTCGGGAAGATTACAACCTTTCAGCCCACGAGGAGACACATGCGAGATGTACGCAGATTTTTTTGACATGAAAGGGGGCGTAGGTAGCGTTTTAGCGTTTTTGTCGTTGAAACGTGTTCAACCTCGTAATTTTCACCTTCATAGTTGCGTCGAGTGCAGAGGCGTGCATTTCGAGTGAGCTTAGGATGACCTTGAAGGTTTCAGCTGGAGCATGTGGATTTTACAGCCGGGCAAGGAGGCCACGTGTAAACATTTTTCTAGGATGTGGTTTTTAATCCTAACCCATTCTAATATCGGCACACCGATGAGTAGTCTATTACAGAATTGGCTGGTTTTCGTTCGAGTACGCAAGTTCATAAAATTGGTAGCTGCCACACTTGCAAAGATTGATAGTTGCCTCTTCTGTTAATCTCTTTTAGAATTGCAAGGTAGAAATCCAGTACACTTACCCGAAAACTTCCTCGCACGCAGCTGCTCTATCCTTTCTCTTAACCCGGGCTAATTTTCCCGTCTGCTGTTTAGTGCCCGAAGCCGAGCTCCACACCACAGTACACACGAGCACGACACATTCGGCGACCCTTCAACACCCACAGCCAACAGATGTGACCGACGCGGACCTACCAGCCGAGCGAGAGGTCACCACGTATCTCATCACGTACCCGGATGACGACGTGCCGGAGACGCCCGGGGGCCACAAATTCCACACGACCAAGTCCTCCAGCAAGTCTTCCAGCTATTCCTCGTCCTTCCGGTTCCGACCCCGGATCGACGAGGCGATCCCCGAGAGCCCGCGCTCCGTCGACGCTCCCGAGGACATCCCGGACGTTCCCTCTGCAGTCAGGAGCCACCACCGAGTGACCGACATCTCCCGCTCCGACGTGTCGGAGGCGGACGAAATCCATATCATCCTCCACGCGGCGGATCAGTCACGGAAGATGGACGAGGAGACGCTGAAGAACCTGACGGCCGGCGGCTATCTCATGGAGTCCTACAAGGAAGAACACATTGCCACCACTAGTGCCACAACGAATAGAGCTAGGAAACCAGAGCACGATGACCATGACGAAGCCCAACTAACCCCGCACACCTTCTCGACCACTCGAGGTAATTGGGAGTTTCCCCCTTTCTTACACTCTTCACTTTCTGCTCTGCATGCGCATAACAACAGAGTACGAAAAAAGAATTAGAAATTAACTGAAAATGTCCCCGCAAAATGTGTGAGGGTTCCAGGTGATGTAGAAGCAAACATCGAAGGGTCCCGTTAGTGCATCAGTGTATTAAAAAAAGTCGATATTCGAAAGCGATTCGGTAACGAACAAAACCTGTCATTGCTCAAGGACAAATGTAGAAAGGTAATTCGACGATGGACGCGAATGAAGTCGACAGGGACCCAACCATAAATCGACGTGAAAGTAAAGAGCTGGGAACCAACCGCATCGTTATATGGGCGAAGGAAACCAGGAAGACAACGTGAAAACCCCGAGAACGAGCTCGTCATAAAAAAAAACTCTCCATGCGATAAGGAAAAGGAAGAAGAATCGGTCGGCTATGAACTTTATTAGGAGGGAGAATTCCTTCCCATTAAAAGCGGAGATCCGAAATGGTTCCGTAAAAAGAGAGGGATATACGGAGATTCGCATCTATTCACGGTCCACGCACGGCGGAACGTATGAGAGCGAAAATATTTTTTGTTCCTGATCTTTTTCTTTCATCCATCACCTGGCGATCTCTGCACACGCACGTCGATAAGGAAGGATGCATTTCGTCTCGAATTTCGAGAGGTACTCGTCTCCGGTCCGTCTTTTCTGTTTCTATTTTCGCTGTCGCGACGTCATTCGTGAAGGAAAGGTGGAGCATGGAACGCAGCCGTGGTGCGTCTTTCCGTTGTGAAAATCCCTTCCAGTTCTCTTTCCGAATCCGCTTTTCGAGGGCAAGGAACTTGCCTGGAGAAGAGAACACTTACGAGGCTTCCTTCTACGATGAGTGTTGCTTCCTTGTGCAATCATTCGGCGCTTGCATTGCGTATGTTTTTTTGTGGAAAGAAAGAGCTACTTTTACTGTAGTTAATCCACGAAATAAGCTGTTCAAATATCCTCTGTTTTTCTCTATCGCACTGTTTTAGCTACAACAGAAGCAGCGTGGTGTATTTGTTATTGGATAATGATCGTTGTTCACCCAACATTGGGCCGATTTTATCGATGCGAATCGAAAAGCAGTCTAAAGTCTTCTCGGGACGTTGAAGGTCAACGGATCACCCAACCGAGGCAGTGTTGCGAAACAGAAAGAGCATGGTCGCGGTTCCTTCTGTGTGGACAGAGAAGAGAAGCAAGACGGAGCTGGTCGGAGACGAGTTGAGGACCCAGACGCGGACGCAGACGACCAGGAGCGCCCAGCGGCCAGGCCAAGAGACTCCAGAGGCGGAGACCTGCACGGAGACTTCCTCCACCGTCAGGAAACTGTCCCACCCGAACCAGGTGAGCTCCCAGGGAAATCCATAGGATTAATGGAGGGAGATGGAAGGTCTTTCGTAGGCAGGACATGTTCATAGCAGTAAAATAATACATCACCCGAAGATTTACGAGATAGAAGTGGACGATCGTAGATTTAAAAAAAAAAGACAATAAAAGTCGCAAAATGTTCAACTTTAAAGTTCAAATTTTTTGTTATTGTTGGAAGATATTGAAAAATCAAAGATTGAATTTTAAATTATATTAAGGATATGAAACTGTGAATTGAAATGAACTCTGCAATTGAAATTATTGAACAGCCAGACATTCTCGAAATATGAAATAAGGAATGGACTTCATGAAGGGCTGCCTGCATCATGGATAAGAACAATGTCGTTTCAGGTCGATAAGCCGAGTAGCTCCAAGACTCCACGGATCACGGACAAGGACCAAAAAGACGACGGATGGAAGCGGCCGACAGACATGACGAGGCCGGCGGACGGAATGGACTTGGGAGTCATGGATCCCATCGGGCCCACGGACGAGAATGGGCGGCCCTTGTTCGGCCTCAAGGCCCTCAAGGCTTGGAAACCGAAAGGTCAAGCACAACCGAACGAGGATACCTCGTCCAAACCATCTCCCATTCGGCAGGACGAAAAGAAGAAAGTCTCTCAGAGCCACGGCCGCTCCGGTTAGTCGCTGCATGGCGAAATTCTCTATTTCTAATTCTTAAATGAAGCTACTGAGGGAAATCCTTCGAACTCGACGTGAAACCTCATTTGGGCTCGGGGCCCATACAAAGTTTCGCGAGATGGCTCACTAGACTGGGGGATGTCTCATTGACACTAAGTTAAAAGAGGCGTTTAGTTTTCCTTCCCATCGGATGCACCAGCGGTTCCCAAACTGTGGGTCGCGTACATTTTCCCAGAATAAAAAATCACTACTTCCGCATCCGCTCGGGATAAAACACGCTCTGCAGCAAAGTTCGATCAATATTCTTCGTCAAAATTACTTTGAAAATACCTCGTTCTGGATTTCGGTGGGTCGCGAAATGTTCTGTACGTCAGCAAGTGGGTCGCGATTCAAAGAAGTCTGGGAACCACTGGGATACACTAGTGAATAATGGAATTCATTCCATTCTGCACGAAGAACCTACAAAAGCTGTATTGAAGCCTTAGAAATAGCTGGGAAGTCCTTATGAGACAGGTTTCAGGAGCAAGAGTAAGTAATCAGAAAGTAAGTAGTAAGTAACCTGTTAGTCAGAATTCATGGAAAGCCTCAAATCGCCCTTTTCGACATACTGTTGCTCGGTTCTCGATCACAGGATTCCACCATCTTATCTGCATAGTAAAGGGTATCCACCGACTACATGATTAAGTGGTACCTGCCTCTGCACGTTGGAATAGCTCAGTTGCGGACATTTATCACCTGAAGGTATGCGTGGGCAACACCCATACGCCGTGTTCCTGAGCTAAGCAATGATAATAGGTTCATATTAGCTATTGCTCGATTGACTGATTACGTCTCTCTATTCGCTGATTGATCGTTTTTAAAAAGCTTCTCCATATTCATGTCTCACTTGGTGCATTGCAATAAACAAACGAGACGATGGAAGAATCCCAGATTGAACTGTATTAATTGACGCAGTCCACAAGACGAGTGGGAAGAGGGAGGAAGTGGAAACGAGGACCCTCAATGGACAAGTGGAGGTGGAGACACGAAAGGAAGTGAAGAGTTTCCTTCACGACCACTCTGAAGTCACGGGAATCCAGGACGTCGTTGACCGCATGAAAGCTCAACCCCAAGGTTTGTCTATCTTTCTCATTTCCTGAGGTACACTCTCCATTGGGCAAAAAAAAAAAATATATATATATATATCCTTCCACGGCACCTGCCGGTATTTGAGATATGAGGGGGGAGGAACCACATCCCAGACCTCATACTCGTCTTAATTCTGAAGGACACGGCGAAGGATGCTGGCCGTGCCCAAGATTGCTGTACGCTGGAGGATATCCAATGATATTTCACACTCCAGCTTCTTGACATGTCCTTTGAGGTCTTTCAGGACNGTTGTCAGAGTGGAGTCCTGTCCCTTGAGGGACATGACCGTCTTCCAGTCTTATATCCATATATATAGTCCGTCTTAATGTAAGTTAAACGGGAAAGCAGTAGGAGATTTTATTATTATTACGAGAGAGCCAAAAGTTTTCTCTGAAGCCAATAATACGAGTGCGTGCTGAGTAAAACGAGGAAAATATAGAATTTCGTAGACCGTATTGCGGATTGACGCTGCTGTATTTTTGTTTTTCCACGATTCCATTTGTGATCCCAGTCGTTTGAAGGCATCTCGGAGTAGTAACCGGATTTGTCTCGGGTTTCAAATCAATTGGTGGCTTCTGGTTCCACGCAGTATGTCATTCTCGAAAGTGGTACTGACCGTCTGGGCTCTCTTCCAGTTCCAACTCTTTCATCTAACTCTTGATGTCCTCTTCTCGAATCCCGAGTCGCTTACATAGGACTTGAAGCACCGATTTCTGACCTTAGCTGTAAGGTGAAAAGCTTCCGTCTGGGGAAAGTACGCGAAGGTGGGCAACAGACAGCGAGTTTAATTAGTAGATGGCCTCTGTCGGAACGGAACGGAGGATGGAGCTTTCTCCTCACTCTTACAGAGGGCACCCCCCGCCTTTTCTTTTTCTTCTTCCTCTCCGCTTCGTCCTTTGGCTGCGGCAGTAAGGTCAGAAAACTAGTCATTCCTTTCGACCGCGAAACAAAAGTCACCCTAAAGAACTTACTCGTTCCAAAGAACAACGCAGTTGAACTCCCCCCCCCCCCCATCATAATAGCTGTGTACTGTGGGTAACTGCTGCATATTCAAACGATTTTGGCATGAATACTGTGGTCTATAGACCTATGATACATTAGTCTACCTCTGCATCTCATTCTCACCTTCCTAACATACGAGAAGATTCTCATCCGACGCTATCAGCTGGCAAGTTGATATACAAGGACGATCGTGAAGTCCCCGAACATTTCGATGACTTCATGGATCATCCGAATCAGCTCAAGTAGCAGTAGTTATCTGGGGCACTTTTAATTTCGGGATTATAATGAGTCACATGCGATTCGTTTTATGCGATTCAACTAAATTCCTTTTTTTCTTTTCAAATGGCATACGACGTGAGAAAGTTCTTTTTGCTGAACGAATTCGACCAATTACATTTGTGAAGTTAGAGACGCTGGGATAGCCAAAAAAAAAACATTAAAAAAATAGAGGAAAAGCATTGGAACAGGAACTCTCATTCCTAACACCCCCATTTCCGTTCAAATTACTGTCCATAAACTCTTCTGCTCTTTTTATTTTTATTTTTGGCGATTCATGATTGAGAAATAAAACTCACCTGAGCATCACGAGCATCGCAAAATGTATTTCCTCGTATCCGTTCGACAAAATGAACTTTTCTCACTATGGTATATCCTTTGGAAAGTTATAAAGAAATTGTTAAATCATATGTACTAGCAGCTATTATAATCTTGAAATGAAATGTGCACTGTATAATTACATTTACCTAGGCATGTGAGACACCCTTGTTGTACGATGTTGCGACGCTACGAGACCTGCAATTTTATATCTGAATTTCATTATTATATGTATTTTGATACCAAAGGTGGACTTTTGCAGAGAACTTCGCTGAAAGTGCTCAATGTGGTTTCACTGTCTCACTATTTTCATTTTTTAATTATCGTGTAAATGTGTTAGGCCTCTTCAGGAAAAAACGTCGAAAGAGTTCGCCTGAAAAAAAAAATATAAATAATAACATAAAATTAAAAAAGGTGTCTTTTTTGTCTTTCTAACAATACGTGCGATGTTTTAGCCCTGAAGTCCTAAAAGGATGAACGTTACTGGCATTTTAAACGTCCGGTGACTTTCTAATCGCCCTGCCCATTCGGCAATGAAATACACCCTATTTTCAAGCTGAAAAATGATGGATGAGACATTCACAGTTACCTCGCTGGTGCAAGGGCAGATATTCATTAATTATCTTCAGTTCGGAGAAGGGAGTGAACTCTTTCTCTTCTAAAAGGTTTCGCTGTCTTTTCTTTGGATATTTGCCCGTAGTTACGGTGGAGAAGCTGGATTATTTCCCGGAAATTGTCATACTCCCTCTGGCTTCAAGTTGGTTCGGTTTTCAAGTGGGATCGACTTCGGTTTGAATGTTTTATTTCATTAAATCTACATTGAAAACTATCACATTAGAATAGAAATTATGGTAAAATTAGAAAGGCCTGAAAATGGCCTGACGACGGCATAGAGAACGTGTGCCGTATTCCCCTTGAAAAAAGTAAGACCATCTCGTGAAGCAGTTTTTTTTTCTCTTCGCATTCGCAATATGCACTTCTCGACGAAAATTCCGCATACGATTGCTCCAGGGATGACCGCCGACCAGGGTTTGCCTTTCGCGGGCTTTCCATTTCGAAGAGGAAACTTGTGCAGGCTATGGAATGGGTGTCGCAAGAAATTAACTTCATGCATTTCTTTACGAGGAATGGCGCGAAGGAAGGGATCGTACATCTTCCTCTGAGCCTCGACCCATCCAATTTTCGATGCAGGCAATTTTTCACGGGTCTCTTCCCCGACCCGTCTCGGATGACGATTGGGTCCACGTGAACCTCATGCACGTGTGGGCGAAAGAGACGCCTAGGTATTCTTTGTTTCCTTCACGCCAGCTAATCCTTGGGAAATGTTGTACAAGAAAGACAAAAAAAAAGGGAGAACGAATTCCGGACGTTCTCGGATTTGATGCATTATCTGCCCGCAAGCCCGGCGACTTGACATACATTGATATATCGGCAAGTTGAAAGGAGAACTTGAGGGTGAAAGATGCTATTGAGGACGAAGAGACTGAGATGCAATCTGCGTGTCACCTCCCTTTGCCTTGAAACTCGCTACCGACCAGAGGAAACTGGGGCCCCACTTCGGCAACGGTTCTTTCTTTCTTTCCACCTCATGATTAAGACGCCTCGGGTGTTCGGAGGATGAGGGTCATGATCTTGATCGAGGTGAAAGGAACGGAACGAAGGGAGGAAGGAAATTGCGACGGAAAAAGAACGTTTCTCGGGCCTACTCTTACCCTTTCATTCCCCGTATAGGTGGGTACTTTTGATGCTTTCACTGCGTTCTTTGCTTCCTCGTCATCGTCACAAAGTCCAACTCCTGAAATTGAGACTGACAATATCCTAGGTCAAGGAAAAATATAAATTTGCGTGTTGCACACGGGTTTTGTCTTTGTTCCTATGTCATGTTCGAGCGCTACTGGCGATTTATAGTAGCAACTTTTCTGTGTTGCTTTGCAGGCGAAGTCGGATCGGACGAAGAGGCCAGGTCCCTCTTGAACAAATTCCTCGGGGCTCAAGTTCTCGTCCAGGGACTGGATCCCCTCATGAAAGACCTCCAGCACCTGGATAAAACCAATATCAAGGTCTGACTCCAAAGTCCTCTTTTGCTCCTCCTCAGTGGAACCAAATCGGGGGAAAGAGAAAGAAGAAAGATCATTTTGAGGTCGTGGGGTTTGGGAAAACAAGGAAGTGCATTCTCAAAGGTTTTTTTTTGCGCAAGGATTTTGGCACGATGCCTTTCTCCATAAATGAGATCGACAGGTGTGCAAAATCATGAGTTCTCCGTTCGTTGCACTCCTGCTCTCCCTCCGTGCCCGCAGAAATATCCCTCCCTTCTGCCAAAAAATAACCCTAAGCAAAATAAATTAAGCATCTCGGATAATCATGAAAGTTGGCACGACGAACCGTCCTCCTCATCAATTTCTGTTTGCACGTTTCGCCTACTTGGAGCAATCTCGGCAGGCGTGCGTTCACTCAGTGAAACATCAACTCTTTCTGAAAGAACAGAAGTGAAGGGCCGAAAGCAAGTCTGATTTGCAAAAAAAACAATTTTCCCAAGCTCCAAAGGGAAAGTGCGGATTTTCTGGTGATCATCTTGAAAGTGAGGAAAGTGGTATAAGTGAATGGACCAGTTTCTCACTTATATAATTGCCAAAAACTATTATATTATGACGGATGAGGATGGCATCGAGAAGGCGCACTGAATGTCCTGGGTTCGGTGGTGCAAGTCCTCCTCATCAATTTCTGTTTGCACGTTTCGCCTACTTGGAGCAATCTCGGCAGGCGTGCGTTCACTCAGTGAAACATCAACTCTTTCTGAAAGAACAGAAGTGAAGGGCCGAAAGCAAGTCTGATTTGCAAAAAAAACAATTTTCCCAAGCTCCAAAGGGAAAGTGCGGATTTTCTGGTGATCATCTTGAAAGTGAGGAAAGTGGTATAAGTGAANCCCCCCCCCCCCCCCCCCCCCCCCCCCCCCCCTCCCACACCCCCGTAACAATATTCAATGTGAAAAAGAGGGGGGGTCTATGTGCATGAGACCATCCAATCGCTTCTGGGACATTTTTTACAGATATGCAATCAATCCTTGTAATACCACCACTCGGTGTAGCGCCACCCTTGCCTATAGTCGACCCTCAATATAGCACCACTCGGTCATTGCCGATTTTAGCGCTATATCGAATAAACCATATACTCTATTATGAGATTGTGAGGAGATTTGTCCGCAGGAAATGCTGGCGATAGGCGAGAGTGACGCAATACTGAGTGGCGGTATAACGAGGGTTGACTGTACCACACTCTCTTTCACCCCTTTAAGCTAAATGATGCAGGAAAAAAAAAAGAAGAAATAAATCAGTAGGGATGTTTGAACATGTGAGGTTAAAATGGTTTTGAAAGGAAGGGAACCCCCAACGAGTCCGAAAGAAAATATTCAACTAAACCGAAAAGCGAATTTAATGGGCATTCCTCTCTTGGCTACCGAGAAGAAATTAAAAGGAAAAATCTCACAGATGACTTTATGCAAAAGAAGAAACCCCCGTTGTTTAAACAAGGAGTTCGCTTCGGTTTGTTGTCGGTTTGAGGGGATTTTACGATCTGCCGCGCTCGTGAGTTTGAAAAACTCGGGTCTTTGGCCCCTCGGCTTCTTTATGTGGGAATCTGCTCCGTGCACATAGCTCGTATACGTACATGCAAATGCACAAGCACACACAACACACACACACACACAAAAGACCCACGTTTGCATTACAGGAGACCCTGGGGAAGCAAATAGACGAATGGGATCCCATCAGGTCTAAAGACCGATTTCTCCTCCACACCAGCCGTCGCTTTCGTTAAATCGGAACTGGCGTTGAAGATGAGAGAAGAGACAAGAGGAAAGGCTCGACTCTTCTCGAGGGAGTGTATATTTGGCATTTCAAGGATCAAAATTTCTCTCAAACGTCCCTGCTTCAAAAGAAAACCAATTCAAGTTCGCGGGCGTATAGCTTTCTTTACCGATGAGAGGTAAAGGGGTGATTTATTCTTGTGTCACGTGGGCTCCACGTATTAATTGTAGTTCCTCTGTCAGACTGGGGGATTTCTCATATATTTACATCAAACGTCACGGAAGCCTAGTTTTTCTCACTCTTCTTTCCTTGTGGAAGGTCAGGTCAACTTTTTCCTCAGCAAACTCCATAGATTCTGCAATTTCAGGGTCATTTTAAGATATGACTTTTTATGTTGTTGACCATCCTTGTACTGAAGCAACCCGACGATTCTAACACAGTTTTGTACCGAAAGGATTTGGACTGAGTCTACTTCTGAGGTACATGGATACATGAACACCATACGTTGCTCGGATCATTGGGGAGGCATTCCCCTCAGAAGCGGGCCTCGCTCTTATCCGCGCTCCGCATCGGGAGCGATGAGGATGAGTGAGGAGCGCAGTCCGTTGTCCCCTGAATCATTCAGGATGCATGGGGATGTGATGATGACAGTGATTATCCCTTGGCTCCCGGGACCATTACCAACCATTTCTCATCCTCTTCTCTTCTTTCTGTTTACCCCTTCCGCGTTCCACTGGTATCATCATCATCAGTCTCCGTCGCCGTCCTTCATACGTCTATCATCAAATAGCCCATGCTATTTTTCATAAAGTCAACAAGAAGATCTAAAAAAAAATTTGAAAGAAGGAGTAAATTCAAATATAGCAAATAACAGTACGATGAAATAAATCGTTTTGTTCCCGTCCCTTTTGATTGCCCGGATTGTCTTGCCTTGACTGGCATGATCTTTCACCCTTGGTGCTTATGATGCCATGTAAATGGGACCTGATAATGATGATAGTTTTCATGATCAGTCTCAGTGATTCATCGCATGTGGATCTCCTTTTTTTCTGCCGTTAAACACGAAAAACTGCCTTTGAACTCGTACCAGCCGTTCTCTATGCTAACGGATGGTTAAAAGTCTATTACTCGTACCTTTCCTGTAACTATAAATCAAGTTAAAAGTTCTCCATCAGGCTAAAGTGCTGGAGTTCACGCAGCTCTTTCACCGACTCGATTGCATTCTCTTTCGACGATGTGGGAAGGCCCAGACTCAAGGGTCAGCATACCACGTAGCATGCAACGTTGGCTTGTACAACTCTGCAACCAAACATGGCTGCAAAATTGGAAGGATATAGAAATGCACCTGGTCAGAGGTTTCCCAGTGATGAACATCTGGGAGTTTCCCAATATAATCTGCGAATATCACTACGTTAATGTTGAACCTATAAAGGAGATATATATATATATATATATACCATCATCGTGAGCCATTTTCTATCCAATGCTAGATGTTATTCTTAACTGCAATACTTCGATTTATTTTACTCGTTCAAACCTTATTTCTTTACTTTATCTTCTCTGATAAAACATAATTACATTATATAGACTCCGTGCACTCCCTATAGTTGGCGCTGAAGTCGCCCTCGTGTTCGCTCGTCTGTTGAGATAATTGCAACGGAAAATGTCATGCATGCGTGTATTTTTTTTTTAGACTGGCGCCTCTTCACGCTCTCTGGCACGTGAGTGGCATCTCTACTCATGCTCACGCGCATGAACTCGTTGAAAGTGGCTTCCGAAATGCCGGCAACACAGTCGTTGACGATGTATGGAGGTGTATATATATGAAAGTGATGCCATGCTGTGGAATTGATTCTCCAAAGGAAGCCGTGTTCTTCCTTCTGGAGCGCAGAGAAAAACAGGAAAGAAGCGGCAAATATATTAATGGAAGAAGTAAATTTAACGCGAACTTTGGTCTCGTGAAAGTGTCGTAAAACCGCGAAGTTTTCCCCCAACAACAAAAAAAAGGTTTTATATTACCTTAATAGCTCAAGCAGACTAGTTACCTGCCCGAACTTGCAAACTAAATGTTCACCGAAAATTAAATCTTTTTCCTTCTTCTTCACCCAACTTTTCCAAGAGGGAGGAATAAATTTTCCAGTTTATGGATCCAATTTCTAACTAAATTCTGTGGCATTGAACTCTGGCAATGGAATGTAAATCAAGACACTCCTCGTTACGAAGGTAGCCTAAGGTCAGTAGCGGTAGGTCAAAAAGGTCTGCCATACCACGTTCCTTCTCGCAGGACAAATACTTTTTTTTTTTCTTTCAGGCTCCTTCTCACATGTGGGAAGGGAAGAAACTATTCGTTCGAGTAGCTTACGTTTGGGTGACCATCTCATCACAGCATATTTCATCTGATAGTAGACTGAAGAAGGTACCTGACGCTGACTGAAAGCAAGGGTTGCTGGGTACTGAAGTTTTTTTTCATTACATTTTGACACGTTTCAGCTTGACACCATGCGTGGGAAAGTGTAGGAGATGCTTGGCAAAAGTGTCTGAAAGCAAAAATGAAAAATGAAACTGTAGGATTCTTCTGACAGGTAAGAAATCTCTCCCGACAGGCAGAGCTGCGCGGGCGTCTTCCATATGTCTCTATACCAGTGGTTCTCAACCGGTGGGTCGCGACCCACTAGTGGGTCGCGATAGTCTTCCAGGTGGGTCACGAGAGAAGGAAGTGAACTAAAAGTAAAATTATATATAAAATTAGAGAGGGGTTAGAGAAGACAAGGGATGAATCACCAAACCGAAAGGCATGGCAATACTGCATGAGCTAATCTTTCCAAGAACGATCCAATCTACTACATAATCCAGAATAGAAGTAGCACAGGGATTTCCTGACAAACAGCTCCAAGAAAGGGCAAATAGCAGTAAAATGTCTTTTTTTTTAAACCCTATTGCTCCTCCTAGCATTCATCTTCAGTCCTTGTTCTTTCCAGCATTCTCACCGGTTCTTTGTTGCTGTGGGTGAGGGTGACGCTTTTTTTTGTGGGCAGAAACCGAAGTTCATTTTCTCGATTTCGTTTTTCCGCTACCAACTGACATATTTCCTTCTCTATTTTTTGGGAGTGGGAAGTTTACGAAATTCACATCATCCTTAATTTTCTGTAGCTACTTACTTACGTTTAACATTGTAATGCAGGTGGATCGTTTCCTGATTAAACCGAGTGCAAGCGCTGGTACTAATGGCAGTGTACCGGTGGAGTCATTGGGACAGAAGTCGGCTATCCTCCAGCAAAAAAGTCAAAACTAGTACCGATCCGGAAGCACAATCGTTCATACCGTCTGTGGTTTCAGTGTCAACGTATGAAACCAGAATGCATAGATTTTGATGAACTGTGGCCAATGCATCCATGAAGCCTTCAAAATTGAAACGGCGTTTAGATCGAAATCACTCAACATTGAAGAATGAACCAGCCGAGTTCATACAAAGGAAGCTCGAAGAGGTAAGGAACGACCCCAGAAAGGAATAACGAAGGAATCATCTATGTCCAGAGCAATATATCGAAAGCGTCATTTCCGATTTTTTTCCCTTTTTTTTGCGCGTCACACGATTGCATTATTTTTGGATGCTTCTAAATTTGTGGGTCGCATAAATATGGGAAGAGGGCTCGATGGGTCGCGACATTAAAAAAGGTTGAGAACCACTGCTCTATACGAATCGCACGGGACCTAAGGATAAAGTATACAGAGTTTCCAGGTGTAATTTTACCCATCTACCTTCTCTGGCGCTGTTAACAGTCCCGGAGAGACCTCGTAAATACAAACATCACTAATTGCGAAGAGGTATCCTTATGAGTGAAGCCGATGAAGCCACACCCCTCCCTGAACGAGGGAACTGATACTGCACAAGTCGACGGTAGAGCCCATAGGAAGGCACGAGCCTTCCAACCTGTACTTAAGGTGCACTCAGCCCCTCATTTCTTTGGATTCCCCAAAGGATAGAGCAGAGAAGCTATTTTCTTTTTTTGAAACTCCGTGAAAGTAGTTTAGTGAGGCTGGGAAGGGAAAGAAATGGTCCGCACCCATTCGTGAGACATTTTTATACTTAGGGGGGGGGGGAGAAGAGAGACCGGAAACGGTGTAGCGATACGTTTTCTTAGAACAGAAAGGAAAAGTCTGGCGCCATGACTGGTGCCTTCGTTCCACCCTGGTCTCAGCCACAGAGGGAGATTAAATCGTGCTTTGCTATGTATCGATTTTATGCCTGGGAGAAACTGAAAACACCAGTTCCATTTCTCGGGGAAAGAGACGTGGAGTCCGGCGCCAGGCTGCATTCACACGCTCACAGCTGATGGTCAATAATAGCGATGATGATGCCGTATCGGCAAATTTGAAAGATGTGCTTTTTTTCCTGGTCATCAATAATGCAAGAAAGAAAATGTTTTATATACAGGGTGGCTAAAAGTGACTTGTTTTCTTTCTTAATTTTGGAATCTGCTGCATTTGGTTAATTTTTGGTGACCTCTTTCTCCACAGCCAAAAGAAATGTTTCAGATTTGTGGGGTTTGCTTTGTGGACTTCATTCGCCCAGTCAGACAAGTAAAAAGAAACCTCGTGGGGAAGAGCTGCTGCTTATGTCATGCCAGTCAGATTTATCTAGTGGATGAATTTAGGTAGAAACAGTTCATTTGTGTCGGACTGATTCGGTAGATGAATTTATGTCCGATGCATGCAACCTTTAAAAATTTCACGCTGAGAATTCTTTCAGGCTGAAAATTTATTACTTGACACCCATGACTACAATCATTCATTTTGGACCAGAAGAGACCCGGACCATTTTGTCCTCGGATCCCATTGTTTGGGACCGAAATTTCCTGGATTTGTATATATCTGTGGGCTATTGTTGAAGCTCGTAGGTGAGCTGTAGCATAAAGAGTTCCAACAGTGCAGCCTCAAAGGCCGAAAAGAACTGGCCCTTAGGGAACCGTCTCACATAATATATCAAGTAATTTATGGATGACGGGAACGATCAACGGTATTTCTTACATTCAGAAAGAGAGTAAAAAAATAAATCGCTGGAGGAGATGATGGGCGTAATGGGAGCAATGGAACGGTCGAAGCAGACATTCGTCGTTTGGCAATCTCCATGGGTATAAAATGGGAAGCGCACATATAATAACAGCCGGTGTCTTCGTCTCTCATCTCTTCTGCGAATTTCTTTTTTTTTTCGGCTCTCTTGGCTATTTTTAAAAGCATGGCGCAGGTCTCTCTCCCTCTCTTGCGTTCTCTCCCTCTCTTTCCTGATTCTGTCTTGTGTACTCACTCGAGTGACTCAGTTGAGGTCAGAGTGGAGGTGCACGTTTTACGTGCAATCAGGTGAGGTCAGGTCGGATAGTGGACAAGGAAAGGGGATGGCGGCTGTGGACACGAGTCTTCCCGTGCAACAGGTCAGCTCTCTCTATATACTCGTGCAAGCCGGAGGCGGGGGTTCGAATCTTCGCTGCCCTCATCCCGGTTTCTTTCCTTCTCCCTTTCATACGTGCAATGACCCACAGTTACGTCCAGATCACGTAACGGCTTCCGTGCGGTGATTTTCTTTCTTCTCTTCCTTCCTTCACCTTCCTTTGACTTATTTGCTTTTCTTTTTCTGGCACCTGCCACCTGGACCCCTGCCAGCTCTTCCCCTTAGAAGGTTCTCTCTTCCCTTCTCCTCTGATACCATCTCCTTGCCTTATTATGGGGCCTCTTTTTTTTTACGAGTCCCTCTTCTCCTCATTGTTCCTTTCCTTTCAATTCAACGACCCTTCAATAGACGGAACATGGGGGCCGTGAAAATGCTGGACAAATGCCGGATATATTTTCTCCCCTCGGGCCTTGTCTCTGCATACAACCTGATGGAGCGGATGGGGATGGGCGTGTCGTCTTCCACTTCATCAGCCTCCCTCCCCACTGTTGCGTCTTCGTCACAGGAGGCCGTTTACTATTGCGTGCATGCGAGTCAGATTCATAACGGAGCGTCCTGATCTACGCACACACATGCCCGGTGATTCATTTTAGAAAGCCCTAATACCAGAGGAGGGGGGGGGGGAATAGAAGCAAGGTGGTAGCTGGCCAGTCAGTGTGAGTCCGGCCGCCGTAACGGCCGGTTCTCTCGGGGGTCCCGAGGGGAAAGGAAAGGGGGGGGAGGGGAAGGGGCGCGGTGTTTGTTGCTCTCTTTTGTTTTTCTCCTCCTGTGTATGCTGTTATCGCTGTCTTCGTCTCTAGTCGTCTGCTTTCCCCCATCCTTCCCCCTTTGTTTTTCTAGCCCTTTCAGTGGGTGTAGGTGTGCAGTGTCTCGAATTCGTTTGGTGAGAGTGAATCGGGAAATCCTCTGTGGTCGTGTCTCAGCTGCATCACTTTCGTGCCGTTTTATTTCAGCTGATGCTTGAAATTCTCATTCAAGGAAGAATGCCAGTGGTGATATTTGATAGTGATAGTGAAAGGTTTGGATGCGATGTAGAGGGCAGGTAGAATCGATCGAACGCATCATTAAAGACCGTATTACATGTCCGATGGCCCGCCAACTTTCTAACCATTAGTGGCTGATTGCCAGAGGCAGCCAGTGCTAAGTCATTGGGATTTCTGCATTCACACGGAAGATTGCGCATGCGTGTTAAGGGTTAATCGTCATGGATGCTGCCGCACGATGTAGAACATGTGACCACACGGGTATCTTTTGACAGTGAAAGACGATGGCTGAAACCGAAACTGTCGCTCTGGCAAGATTCTCATCCAAGATGGAGAGCGATTCTGCCAGAGAATGTGAGAAAGAAGCAGAAAACATTGACAGGTCAACTGAATGCAGAGCAAAGAGGTAACATGCTGAGACTTGGGTACTAGGGAGCCTTACATTGTCATTTTTTACAATTGCAGAAGAGGAGTGAACGGTCGTAATTCCAAGCAATGTCATCCACGCGGACACGGGGTTGAACTTAAAATTCCTCTCACCATCCGCTCAAGTTGAAAAGCTGGTTATTTCACCTGGACAGTGGGTTTGACAGGCAATAAAACAAAAGCCTCCCCCCCCCCACCCTAAGTATAAAAATGTCTCACGAATGGGTGCGGACCATTTCGGGCTCGTTCTGTATCTCCTGTCCCTCCATCGAACATGATGATAACCATCTTCGTGACAGAAAATATAATGTACGGTAAGGTGAACATCAAGTTGGTGTGAAAGTAGGGCCCGTTCAATTGGAGTAGGTCGCAAATAAATGCGAATCGATGCCAAATGATGTCAAGTAGGAGCTTTATGCATCCTTGCCATAAGGCATAGCTGAATGGGAATATCTCTGGCGTTCGGGTGCCAAGACAGTGGGAATGTCCGTCCATGATACGACCAATATTTCCCGGACTTTCTGTCGACACCCTCCTAGTCGGCGGAGAGTCGGACGTGTAACTCGGCCTTCGGTCCAAAGACTGATCACGAAAATCCAAGAAATAACAATACGAGGGGAAATTTTTTCGTGTTTGTGTTTGGACGGTGAGACCGAGACTCGTTACCATCTTGACATCCTGTAATCACGAAGGGGAAAAAAAAGTTTACGACTGAGGAGTTTTAACGAGGGTGGGCCAGGCTTCTATCTCTCCTCGTCCTAATGACCCAGGGCTTTTGTTTTATCGTGTACGTGTATACGAGAGAGAGAAAAGAGCGTGGATGCTTTGGAAAATGGGAGACTGATAGAAGCATCCTGTATATACTGCAGCGTATACACCGGATTTGGATTCACGGTCTGTGGCCACTGGGTGAAGGCGAAGCCCGTGACCCACCTTCATTACCGCTATACCACGCAGTGTAGTTTCCTACCTGCTCGTTTTAACGAGTATGCTTTCGTATCATGCAAACAGGTATATGTAAGAGAGGATAGTAGAGTGTAATGTTGGTGTTGGAAAAAGGTCGGGATGAGGGTCCCAGCTATGTGTCCCCGTTGACCCCGGCCGACCTGAGAAAGGGCTACTCAGCCCCCTACCCTTTCCAGGTGAGACTTACGAAATGGATATTAAAATATTTCTCAATTTCAATAATATACTGTGCTCCCCGTGTAGTCACTGTCGGTCCTTTCATTCGCGTGACGGGCAATATTGGAAAGCAATACAGTATAGCTTCCTTTTGAACGGTAGGCAATCCAAAGGCATTGGTTGATATTAGCTGCATTGAGAGGTCGATATCATTGTGTCCGAGAGGGAGATTGTTATCGAGAAGTGGACTAGGTGCGTGAGAAAGCCCTGAGATGAGAATGGAGAAGAGACTCCCTACGGAGTCTCGATTCTTTTCCAGCATTGAATTGAAGAGCGACGATGGGAAACCGTGATGAGAGAAATCTTTTTCGAATCAAGGTCGTCGGCCTTAGTTTCTCATGCCTTTATCCCATTATTTCGTCTAACGTATTTCGTCTTTGTTGTTTTGTTCCGTGGGGGGGAGGGGGGTGGGGCAGAGTAACAAACTTTACCTCTACCACAACTAAAGCGTGTCCGCACATCGAGAATTCCCACCAAAGAAAACCAAACCTGCAAATCTATCGAGTATCTTACTAGTGCTTTATCAAAACGAGGCTTTGTGGTGTTCATGCATGCTCTTCATGTGGTAATTTAAATTACACCTAAGCCGTCTTTCTGTTTCCTTTGATTGCGGGAGGAAATGAGACAGGGAGGGTACCGCATGGGAAAGGGAAGAGGAAAAACTTGCACCGGGAACTTCCAGACTGCACTCGTGTAATAATTTTCAATCATTAGACTGAAAATTTTATGATATTGGGTGACATGCACCAGATCCGTCTAAGCTGATTCGTTTTCACAATGGACATCTATAGGAATAAGATTATCTCTGCTAAAGTGATTTCCATAGGGGACCATTGTGAGATCAGATTAGTAAACTTAAACGGATCCGTTGCCATCCCTTATTACAGTTTAATTGAACATTCACACTTAACGCTCAGGTCAGCTGGGGGGGGGGGGGGCTCGCTCTGGGAAACCCTGTATATAAAATTTTGCCTAGCGCTGGAAAGCTGAACCTCCCATCTCCTCAGCTAGGGTAATAGCCTTGTTTGGACTCTTGTTTGAGTCTTGTCTTCTGGGAAAAATTGTTGTACCTGCGTTGCCAAGCCTTTTTCTTTCTTTTTTTTTTTGCCCTAATGTGTCTTGGGGAGATGCTGACGATGTGCCTGTAGGGCACAAATAAGCCCTCTTCTTTTTCGAGTATTTTCTTAGGTATTTCTAACCACATGTTCTCAGACTGGCAGTGAGGAAAGACAGAACCGCAGCTGTTGTGCTTCGACTGTCGAAATCCCTACCTTTTTACCCATCATTTTCCTAGTAATTAAAAAAGCTGGGGGGTGGTGCCGGGAGCATTTTTCTCAGCAGGGTTTCGGCAGCAGAATCTAGTTCAACTACTATGAGGATTTATTTATTTTTTGTGCCAATGGAATCCCTTGCCTTTTCCCCTCATTAAAATAAGGCTAATTACTGACTTGTACTTGGCATGATTGATGTCCCGGGTGTGGCAAGGACTTCATGCAAAAATACAAATGTACCTCGTATAATAGAATTTGATAGTTTGGGCCTCCGAGGGTATGTCCGAAGACTTTTATACAGATAAGATCATCTGTAGTTCCAATTAATGAATGAATTAACCTTGAACTGAATACAAATGCATTATTCAATCATTTCGGTCGATTCCGTCAAATGCATTGAAACTTCGCTTGATTCATACGCGATGCGCGTAGATGGGATTATAGCCCATAGACAGTCCGTTAGACGGGGTGGAACCCGTTGGTACATCCCCGCCCGATATCTGGGCCAAATCCTCCCCTCCAGGGGCATAGAAACCGGCTCTACCATCCGGTTATGATTCACCTTGCCACAAGACGCTAACTGCTCTTGTTTTCCCATCAAAACAACACTGAGACAGGTCATGTGACTAAACTTGGTCCCTTCTTCACCTCTGCATACAAGTACAATTATTGGATTTCAGGAAATAACTATCCGCTGCTCCCTCAGAACTTAAATGAGTCATTGAAATCGTTCGATTTCAAAACTAGCGAAACTGATCTGAATAACCCCGAATTCCTGTATTCTTTCAAGATCCGGCAATGCTTCGATGCCGACACTAACGACTTCAGAGGATATTCTGTTAAAAGAAAATCCGAAGGGTGTTAAGGGAGGATTTTTCATTCTACGAGGATGAATCATTGGGGCTTGTTGAGATAATGTGATTGCAGAGGATAACGAGGCATGACTGGTGAGTGTATCTGGACATGTGCAGGCGAGTCGTGTCTGGGGGGGAAAACAATAAGAAAGAAGAGGAGAAAAAAGGAGAAAGTGTGAATAAGAGAGAGAAGGTCCTTAATAGACGAGTCACGAATTCAATCGCGGAACGCATCACGATTCTCATCCCCCACTACATTATTGGGATCCTCATTTATTTCTTTGCCTGCCTTTTTTGTCTTCGATTTCCCATCCTTCAATCAGGGGTAGTTGACTTTAGACGCCTCGTCCTCGTACATACCAACTTTTTGGCTCCCAGAAGCATTAACATTATTGACAATTGTCTTCCTTCCTGCTTCTGAAACAAAGCGAATAATGCATGGACTCCCCCACCCGAAGAGCTCAGCAACGATGCATACGAAACATTTATTTGTGGACTGTTGAATTGAGGTTGACATGGATTGGAGGGGGAAGGAAGGGCATTGAAGCATGGCCAGGTTAACGGGACATCCCTCCCTTGATTTCCTTTTTGTATCAAGAGGGGACACAGCTGTTGAAACGGGCCTCAGGGCATCCATTCTATCAATGCCTTAAAACTTTGCATGCTGACATCTTCCTGCCCGCTTCTTCCACGAATACAACTAAGTACCTGTATCTAAATATTTTTTTCCGAAAACTCTATTGAAGTGCTTTTTAGCTTTCAATTCCACAAATTCGAAGCCGTTTTGATGACTCTTGAATTCCTATACATATTAGATGAAGTTGTGACACTATAAATAAGACAAGATACATTTGGGAGTCTCTTTGAGGGATTTTCACAATATCCTACCGACTATGAAATGATGAAAGTTGTGCAAAATCTGTTACATGTTTCTCTGCAGACGACTACTACCAGTGTGACAGAGACGTCAACTCCCGTCTTGGTCCAGGGAATCGACATCTCTTCTTTCCATGACATTGAACAACTCAAGTCTCTGGTGAGTTTCTCTTCATTTCCTCAACCATAATGGTAGTAATGGGCGGATACGTGTGTTTTACTGTTGAAATATTCCAAGGAGAAAGAAAGGTTGACAAAGTTCTTATCAACCGAAACCATTGGAATGATTTCTTTTCACCCCGAGCGCTAGAAATTCTCCAGGACCAGCCAATAGAGATAGTTCAGCATCAGCTTAGATTTGGAGCGTAGACAAGGTCGCAAGCAAATATAGTAGAGACTCCAAAAAAAAGGGAAGGGAAAAAAAAAACCGCCGAGAGAGCGGGTTGTTTCACTTGCAGTGGCGGGGATTTTTTTCCCCGTCTTCCTCTTTCCTTCTCCTTTCTGGGGTTTTACTTTTTTCGCATTGAGTCTGCCAATTGGGAAATCGGGTCAGGGACCGACGAGACAAATTCGTTTGAGGTTGACCTTGTTCCTTTCTCCTCCACTTAAGTCGCAACCACAACGCGACGAGAGAAAAGTAGATTTCCGGTGTTTCCTAATTCTTCATATCTTAAATTAATTATCATTTTCAGTAGTATAGTTTCATTCGTGTCAAGGAAATTCAGTTTCAAATTTGTTTTAAGCATTCATATTCATATAATTATTTAACTGATAAAAACAGTGTCGTATTTAATTTAATGCTACCCTATTTGTCGTTATTTGAATTTTTTTTTAGCTTTTGTTGTTAACACCTATACTTTTGTTTGTCTTGCCTTAATTGTGGCTTATTGTCACCCCCTAAACTTTATTGAAGTTACTACTCCCTGGGACGTTCAAATGTATGGAGGGAAGGCAAACCTCTTGGATTCTCCTTCTCCCCTGTACCCGAACAGGGGTCGTCCAAGTGAAACGGAGGCCGATGAGCCTTCCGCGCTATTTTTGACGCACCTACTTTCCTCCCTTCTCGGGCCATGCATGCAGGAGCGAAGAAAATGGAAGGAAATCCTGCTCCGGAAAAGGAGGAGGGAAGAGGAAACAGCGAATAAAAAAGTAGTCTCAGCATTTACGACATAATTAACGTTCGGTCGACCTTTAAGAAAGGCGCTGGATGTCGTAAAAAAAATCCACCCGTTTTTTTTTTTCTCTGAGTGAATGAGTGTCATTTCACTGCTTCCAAAAGGCCTCTCATACCCCTCTTTGGACTTGGTGATGATGCATGCATCTTTCTTGACGTTTATCTTTCGGTCTAATTTAAATTTGTAAACTATTTTCCACAAATAATGAAATCATTGCCAGACACTTTCGATTTCTCCAGCATTTTTAAATAATTTTATCGCAGTTGTTTTCGACCCACAGTCTTCGATTCAATTTTAATTTCGGAGTTGATGTTTGAGTTTTTATATCTCAGATATCACTCAGATAATTATATTTTATGATATTAAGGTAAGCTCAAATTTCGTTTTGTTGATCGGAGAGAAACGGAGGCTGAAAGAAATCCCTCTTGAAAGAAACGACCTGCTTCATGCCTATATTCTCTCATGTTTCAGTCTTTCACTGCATGAAAGAAATGTGGACAGGGGTGACTAGCACAGGTCTGGTAATTTCTTTTCTATCCCACAGCTGAACAAATGCCAGGAATACGAGGACCGTCGACTGGTCCGCGAAAGAATCCGCACTCTCAGCAAGAAGACAGGTGAGTCCTATCACGACTCATTTGTTATAATTATTTAATTAAGTTAATTAGGACATGAAATGCTTTATGCACGCAAAAGCTCGATTACACCAGGCCACTTTTACCCTCCAGTATGAAGGTAACGGAAACTATTTTCACTTTCTTTTTTTTTGTGCTCAAACTTTCGCCGCGGAATGAGGTCGCATCGTAAGAAAGAAAATGTTGATATGATAATATGACCTGCCAGCAATTTCCCCGTCGGGGTCGCGACTTTACTCAGGCCTTCTCTTCAACCACCAGTAGGGTATTTCATATCTTCTGGAAATAGGATGGAGAAAGTTGCTAGTGTGAAAGGAGTTTCCTGACGGACACCTGACCGACGTGATGTGTTCTGGACAGCCATGAAATGTTTTAGCTTTCCCGTCTGTTGTAGAAAGACGGAAAAACATCGGATAACGCACTCTCGGAGTATTCCGTCAGACACAAAAGCAACGTGAAAGAATTATATCAATGAATGGAATGGGAGCAGAAGAATGCAATCCAAGAGGAACAATAGAAGAAGTAGGCGAAGGGGAATGATAACATTAGAAAGGGATTCGAGAATAAAATAACTACAGGAATCAATTGAAGGAGCAAACCAGTACAGGATTTTTTTTTTCAAGCATTGGAACATGCAATGTCAGAGAAGAACCCGTTTCTTGCCATGAAAGTTTCCAATAAATTTTCAGCAAAGCGTAGCTGGTCCAGCCTCTGCACTCTACGACAATGCTATGAATCAGTGGAGCCTTGGAAATGTATGGAGTGTTAAAAAAGAGAAAAGGAAAAACTCTATTCTTCGTCATTTCCCCATATAAATCTTTTTCCTTGGGGTAGTATGTCTCGTGTGGACTCTGTTCTTGGGATTTCATCATTGTTGGAAGATTCTACATTTATATTTTACTCCTCGTCACCCTATAAAATATCGCCACGGATGGGATTATACCTCCTTCGTCGCAACCCATCCGACCTCGCACCCCTGTCCGTCATATCATTACAAACCCTTCGTCCAAGACATATTAGTTGGTATTCATGGTACCTCTAACTGCAAGGAGTTTTCCTGCCATTTAGTAGTCGTTGACACCCTTACTACTTTGCTTCAGCATGGGACTCAAATCTATCAGAATGTATCGCAGGAAGTTCTGCAACAACAGGGGGAAAATCTTAGCATTGTGCAAAAATTAGCATAAAATCTGCGGTTCTTCTCCCAGAAATATCCGAATCTGACTTTTTATGTGATTCTAACTTAATCGGAATCTTTATTCCTTTGAAATGACAAGTTCAGAATTTAATCAACTAATTTCCAGGCATTTTAGCCCTAATTATTAATCAGGATAATTATCAGAATAAGTCTATGGAATCTCTCGAACTTTAAATCAGAATATTTTATTTTTATTTTTAAGAACTCTTCTGCAATAACCATAAAGTAACCGTAAGGTCATATGCTCTTGAATTCTCTGCTTCTGGAAGAACAGCAGGCTCAGCGGATACGCTGGTGGGAAGCGGATGGGACTCATGGAGTGATCCAATAGTCCAGTTGCAATACTGGCTTCCCGTTGTTAAATGCAAGTTTAGTCCAGCATCCAAGGAGAATTATGAGCTCAAGAATTCGAATCCTCGTACTCTCACGTCAGAATCTCGCGTCAAATTCGAATCATTCTCGTCTAGATCGTACCAATTCTTTGAAGATCAATCTGGAATCAAAAAGGTAAAGCCCATATTTTATCTACGTATATATCACAGCTCAAATCAAACTACAAGTCAGATTGGCCCTTCCCCACTTTCAAGATGTTCTAATTTTAAGAAACCAGGTAGGCCTTGCAGCCAGAATAAAGCCTGGTCTGATTATCCCCCCCCCCCCCTCCCAATGGAAAGGAGTTTCACCTATCCTCATATAAAATGAGTGGAGCGTCATTTTGAAGCACCCAATCTAAGACTTTAATTGAAAGAGGCCGAAAGCTGTGGTGGCTGTCACTACCAACGCGCGAAGCCTACAATGCTATGCCATTTCAGGCCATCCACGGCCTAAAGCGCCATGCCTACAAGGCTCTGCCATTCTGGGTTATAGGGTGGGCCATACAAATTGAAAGAGACCGAAAGCGGTGGTGAATGGTTGCCACTCATCCGCGGCCTAACACGCAAGGCCTACAAGGCTATGCCATTGGCTAGGCCCGAAAACTTTGGTATTGAAAGTATTTAATGTTTGGTTTGAACCGAACTGCTTCATATCTTTATGTAAATATTTTCAAATTTCCGCCCATTAGACGGCCAGCGTAGCGGCCGCAGGCCACTAGTATTCCATGTAAAAGAGAGCGATGTTTAGCTACGTTTCATGGAGATCCGAATCCTAAAAAGAGCGTGACGTGGAGAGGATTCAGAGTGAAACCTCCCCGGTTCACCGGCGATTTCACCACTCCATACTCACCAGTTCGATCCTTCCCACCTTCCCCCAATTGCCTCCCCCCCCCCTTTTTTTTTCCCCGTTTCGATGAAGACGTGTGAAGAGAAGGAAGGTGGACAGGTGCGATGATAAACGGCCGGACCCGACCGGATTATTAGGGATCATTAGTCTACCTGGTAGAAGAAAGCCCTGGAGGTAAACTTGACCCTTCCCATAACCCCAGGTTATGCAACGGGTCCCTGAATTCGTAATCCCCATTCCCCACCCTGTTCAGAATTCTAATCCCGGTTAGAGTGGACCATGTGCCAGAATACCCTCAGGCCATTTGTGCCCGTTCTATCTGTACACATGCACCACACTCACATGCACACGTGGATTTTATACAATCTTCCTCCTCCGGGTTTTTTTTTTTTTTACCGCCTCTTCGTTCCTTTTTCGCTTGCATCTGCCCTGTCATTTCTCAGCCTTCTTTTGTATTCCGTCCGCGTACGTGCATACACGCTTTCATCCTCGAGGTCTCGCCTCTTGAGATGTGTCCGTGTTAGAAGACGGTTCTCCTTCCGCGATGAGTGAGTCCTAAGTTTGCTTTTGATACTCCTAGCGTCCGAACCGTTCTCCCATTCCTCTTTTTTTCTTTAAAGAGCAATTTCGTTGGAAAGTGCGATGCTGTTAGAACTTGGAACAGACCTTAAGCTCTTAAAGCTCCTTTGGCACCAATTTGGGTTGAACATAGGCCTACACAGATACATATAGGGTAAACTGACCTTGACTCACATGACATTTTGAGTCGTAGTATGTCTCTTTGTGGTACCTTTCCACTTCTGGCTTTTAGGAATTCAAAAATTACCATCAGGTAAGTTTAACATGTGACGTTGTTCCCTCTTGGCATGAGAGTCGATTTATATTTGCCATTTTCAGTACTTATATTAGTGATTTTGACCTAGATGTAGTGAAACATCTCTGATATATACTCAAAGGGAAACTTAACCTATGCGATAAAGTATTTGTTCTATTCTTCGTATTTTCTAAGCTTAAATGTATGTTTTTAGCCCTTAAACGACCAAGCTGGGTTAAAAATTTGACCCAGAGCCTATGTTATAAAATGCGAAACTTTGAGGCTTGGTAGTTAAAGGGTTAAATACGCTCCCGATCCGAGCTGGGGTGAATACGTCTTTCTTGATGATGATGACGTCTTGTACTAGTCCAAAAATTATCAGGCCATGGGAATTCCGTAATTCTTTACCAAGCGTATCGTTGAACGAATGTGTGGCTGGTGTCCGGGTGTGTAGGGACGAGCGAACTCCATCATCACCACCACCATCACCATCATCCAGAGCGAGTGGGATCCTCGCCGGTGCGGGTGGTGAAGTCTCCCCTGGACAGCAACCGGCAACCGTTTCAGAGCAGCCAAGGTGAGTCCACGCCGCTGACCCCACTCATCTGCGACCAGCTCCGCTTCTCGCTTCAAGAGGCACTGCTTCGCAAGGGCGGTGGCAATACCATCACCTTCCCTCTCCCTAACCTGGGGAATCCTAACGCTTCGGGTGCTGAGGAAAGCCTCTTCGATTCGGGGACCGAGTCTGGCGATGATCCGGGCTCGGACCGCGGTGAAGAACTCTCCCATTTCATGGAAGGGATTCAGGAATCCCTTTGCCAGTCTGACAGAACTTTAGACACTGGAATCCTGAACGACGTGGAGCATGTCCTTAATCGGCTAAAGTTTTCGTTGAGGTCTGCCATGACGGAAGCGGATTCGGCTCACGCCGATCAGTTCAACCTGGTCACAAAGGACGGTCCAACGAGTGAAAAGTGGACTCTGAGCACGGAACAAGGGAGTGAACTACTTGCCTTGATTGACCGATTGCAGGGATCATTGGAGACGATGTGTCAAAGACCAACAGCGCAACCAGATATTGTCCCGTCATCGTCACAGACCTCGATGGACTCTGACTGCCTGGTGACAACTGGACGATTGACGTTCCCAGTCGGTCCTGAAGCGATGAACGTACATGGGAGAGGGGATTCTTCTAACTTGGGTATAAACTCACCTGGTGAAGGAACTAATAACTCTAACCAGAAAAATTTGCCACCGTGGAAGATTCGGGTGGCACGTCGTCGCGCGATGGCACGTTCTCACACCCTCGGTGGTGACGGAGAAGAGGAGCTCTCTGCCGTGCAGTCTGTTTTGCAGACTCAAACTTCTTCAAAAAACCCCCCGCCCTGGAACTCTTTCTCCACGACCTGCAACCCAAAGCCATTCCGGCGAGTCAACCTCAGCGATTCCATCCCTCACTCAAAATCCCTGGACAGTGTGTTTTCCAAACTTCAAATTTGGCAGTTACCAGATGGGAAGACTGGAATCGACGTTGACGAAGATTATGGACAATCGGCCATATCTAAACTTTATCCACCCGTGAAATCGTCCTCGATCGATCTCCATAGGCAGCAGTCAGACCAGAAACGGGCCAGCCTTCAGTTGAGACGTCAAAACTCGTTTGACTCGGGGGACGAGGCAGATCGCTCTAAAGATACAACTGGAGACGAACTGGACTACGAAATGCCGGATCTAATTCCCCATAGCTTGAAAAAGGGCTCCAATGATACCTTCAAAGCTTTCGGCATGAATAAGGCCGAGGCAGAGAAGCCAACTCTGATGCCAACCGTGGTCGATCCGAGCGAGATGCTCTTTACACCAGAGCAGACCGTAAAAATCGCCATTCATAAAGCCGCCATTAATAAGCAATTGTCAGTAGATGAGAGTTCTAAATCGATGGATGAACCAGAGCATGTTAGTCAGGAAGAGAAAGCATCCGGTTATTCAACCGTATCCCAAGACCTATCAGATAAGCGTTCTCAGTTTCTGTTGTCCCAGCTCTCTGATGCTGATATGCGGCTTGGTTCCCAGTTTTCAGAGAAAACAGACACTCAATCCGGCAAGCCCCCGTTCCTAAGTAAGATGGAGAACAAGAAAAAAGCAAGACGGTCTCAAACTGCTGTAGTGCAGCGGCAGCACTTAGACAGTGACGACGCTCGTCGTGAAGATGTGCGATCTGATGCAGAGGACAATCACCCAGTCAAATTCACTCCTAAGACCACCGGTGATGCCAAATTTGCCAGTTTCCTCAAGAGGTCTGGGCAGGCTGAAGAGCGAGTCATCTCAAAACCTGCTTACTTGGCTTCTGCAGAGAAAGACCGGAATTGGAAAAACAGGTATTCTAATCTCAAGCATGCCTTTGAGGGTCCCCAAGATACAGAATCCATGTCTCGAGCCTCGGCTTCGGTCCCGCCTTCTCCGACAGTTCATAAGAACATGTGGGTTAGTTCTGAGAAGAAGGCCGAGCCCCTGGTGCAATCGAAAAGCGCGCGCCATGAAGAGGTGGAGCACTCAACAGTGGGGAGTCAAACTAAGAAGATGACTGAAAAACTGCTAGCAGAAGCCGAAGCACAAAAAGTTGTCATGCCAGTGAAGAAACAAAGTACTAGCAAGTGGCCTCCAGTTTTTTCTAAACCTGAACCTGCTGTGCAGCCCACACGTTCCAGTTCTGTGCCACCTGTATCATTCAATCGACCTCTTGCAATATCTGCTGAAGACAAAAAACCTGAACCTGTTGAAAGTAACAAATCCTGGCGTCCTCAAAACGTGCCTTATACTCCAACATCTATTGTTGCAAAGCGATGCGAAAAAATCAATTCCGGCTCCAGGGCTGAGACCAGCCCCACTCCACCCAAGACTCCCTGGAATTCCCAGAGCCTAGTGGCTGCCAGGGTTAAGTTTCCTAGTCAATCCAACATAAGTAATGTGAAACCAGTCTTCCTGCAATCTAGTCATCCCGAAACACGAGCTGTGAAGGATTTCAGTGCTATGATCTCATCGTCCTCGCAGCCTCCTTCACCAGCTCCCATCAAGAAGTTTCAGCCTGCGCAAGCCTTTGACTCATATCGACCTCAGAGTGTTCAAATGCAGCCTCAACCGTGGTCAACACGTGACTTAGAACCTGGTACCCAAACACACACTAAACCACAGTCCACAACTCACGGTGAACCTTTGATTAAAGCACAAGGGAAGTCCATCTATGACCATGGACTCGCACCTCAAGTTCAGCCACGCCTTGCGCACCGCCAGGAACCCTCTCAGTCACACTCTTATCACAATGAACCTCTACGAACACTGCCACATCCATATCATCATGAGAATCAACCTCGAACACAGCCACATCCTCCCTATCATGAGCATCAGCGTCAAACACAACCCTTGCCCAGTTATCATGAGACTCAACCTCGAAGACAATCTCAGCCCACCTATCACAATGATAATCAACATCGAGCACAGTCACATCTCACCCATCATGACTATCAACGTCAAACACAACCTCTGGCCAGTCATCAGCATGAGACTCAACCTCGAACACAGCCCACCTATCACAATGATAATCAACATCGAGCACAACCACATCTCGCCCATCATGACTATCAACGTCAAACACAACCTCTGGCCAGTTATCAGCATGAGAATCAACCTCGAATACAGCCTAACAATCGCAATGAGGCTGCAGCTCTAGAGGACTCCATGCATCAGCAGGAGTCTTCAACTCAACAGCAATCAAGTGCAGCGAGTACTCCTTGCAGTGAAATGTCGTTCGATGCCGAGCTCCCGCCACCAGTCGTTAGGATAGCCGGGCAAGACAAGAAATACGGAGCCGTTTCTCACAACCCCGTCGATAGCTCTCGAGTTCCAGGGATGCTTCTGCAGAACTCCATGCTGGGCAAACCCGGTCCTGGTGTAGCACATGGTTCGAGCTGTTCGGACAAGGCTGTCTCACCTCTGAACTCATCGGTATCTAGAAAACCAGGTCCTGTTTCAGTATCGAGTACTGCAACCGCTGGTATCCCAAACTATGGTCCTGGCCAGCACTCTCCTTTCTCAGTGAAAACACAGGTTCAAAACTCTGCAAGTCCCCGGAAATCGGTTCCCAGTCCCGTCGTGGTCAAGTCCGACCCCAGTATTGTATCGAATATCAACCGCAGTCCGAACCAATCCCAAAAAGTCGTTCGGCAAGACAAACCTTCATTCGAGTCGAATGTGCCGGCACCGCAGGACCGGGGAGTTCCTTCCCCCCGGAGGACCACTCTCAGTGGAACCAAGTCTCAGTCTTTGGAACTGGTTCAGCGGGTTCAGGAGACCCGAAAGCAACAGGAAGTACCAGATACGTCCAGGAATCGGTCGGTCGGGAAGTTGACTCGACCACAGAGCCTCCTGATTCCGGATGAGTCTTCCCGGTCCCGGTCCCGGTCCCGGTCACCGAAGTCGCCGGCCTACATCCCGCCTCGTCAGTTTGAGGCACGGCTGGACTCTGAGACTGTGATCAGCAAGAGGCAAGCGGTTGAAGCCTTCTTCAGCGGTCAGCAGTTGCAGAAATCAAGCTCTCAACCGCTGGTCCGTCTTCAGAGGCAGGACACAGTGGAAAGAGAATTTGAAGAATTGGTTCAAGAAGCAGACGAAAAGGCCTCGATTTGGCAGAGCCGGTCTCTGGACACTGGTACAAGTACTCATCGTGAGTGCTACAGAAAAAATGCTTGGGCCACATTTGCATGCAGATCTTTGCCCTCTCTATCCCTTTGTCGTTTTCTTTTTGCATGGTGCATGCAATCTAATATTGGCGCAATTTATGGTTGCACATAAACACGAGCCTTAGCAACCTCAAGGTCACTCACCGTATGATAAGATAAAAAAAAGCATTATCTGCGTATGTGTTCCGTTGCTCCATAATGTTGCATTCGCCAGTACGAGAAACTGCAGAAAGTGAGTGCCTCTGTTTGAAGAAAGTCCCTCGGGTGGAAAAGATGTAATCGACGCCCTTTCACTTTTTTTTCCCGCCTTTTGTTGAAGATGGGTCTCTGCTTTGGGTGTCCCGCTGCAGGTAACAAAAGATCTCATTCCGATTGGTATGCGGCGTGAACAGGGATAATCACAGGAGAGAGAAAAAGGGAGAGATGAAGGACAATTTTGTAGGAGGGCAGAGGAAATTCCCTCTCCTGCGGTTTTTTTCTATTGCGTAAAGTTGCAGATCTCCCTCGGGGTAAGCAACGGGAGCCGATAATTATTGGGGCTCTGGAGCATTTGTCAAGGCTTTGGGCTCTTTACATCCACCAACCTAGAGAGGAAAGAGCAAAAAATCGTCCTCATCAGCCTTGCTGATTCCACCACAATAATCGTCCCTATTTGTCAAAATCGGAAGAAATGTTTTTGTTCCCTTCCTTCCTTGGTGCTTCCTGTGGATGATGAATGGCTTCCTTTGTCCCAGTTTGTCGGTGGGAAGCTCCGCAGGGTGTAGCAGCCCAGTGACGCCCTTTCCCGCAAAAAAAAAAAAAAAAAAAAAAGAGAGAGAAAAAAAGACGACGAAAACGTTGGCGGATCTAAATATGGGAAGTGGATTGAAGAAAATAAAAGAACAAAGGGTTGGTCAAGGTCGTCATCTTCGTCATTTTCCGCCCTGAGACATTATGACCCCTGATCTTTCTGATCTGCATATTGATGCAGCCTTTGAAGTCGCATTTGAATCCCTTATAAGGAGAGAGAATCACATTCATGCATTTACTTTTTTTCCCATTTCTTATCCCTTCCTAAACACGAATTTACTCTTTGTTTCGTGTTCGATTTTCATCTCGTTTCCGCTTGTATTATTTATTTCCATTTTCAAAATTTTCATTTTTTAAATATATATTTCGAATTAATTTATCCTTTTACACCCTTTCCCGTTCAGTTTTTTTTTCGTCTCACGGTGTAGTCTACATGCTGTCATAGCTTTCAACAAGGCTTCTTGTAGTGTTAGTTCTCATGGTTTTCTAATGAACTTTTCAACTGTTTAGATGGAGCCAACGAACAAACCGCATGCACTTTGTGTATTGCGTGTGTAGGAGGTATATTGCGTGGGGATTGCCGAGTGCAAGTTGCATGATTGTGTCTATGTCCATATTGTTGTGTCTTGTCTCAGATGCGCATATAGTCCGCAAGTGGCTCCAGGACAATTTCTCCTCCTCTGGCAATGCCACCACCACCGCTACCAGTACCAGTACCACTACCACTACCAGTACCAGTACCAGTAGCAGTACCCCCTGTACGAAGCCCCTCGTAGTGGAACGATGCCCCTCTATGGAAAAAGGTATTTATTTATGTCTGTGTGGAATGCCTACATCTTTTTAAAGTTATTATTTTCCCCCGTGTTTCTAATGCCGCGTTCGCCTTACCAGGTCTGTTTCTTTTGAAGGTTTTTCCTCCGAAGGCGTAATTTTTGTCGTGCGAACTTCAGGTCTCGAAGATGAGTCTTCAGCTCAAGTGGCTTGCAACGTTGGGCTATTTCTTCAACTGGTCTTCTAGGAAGATTGGTTGAAGAAGCCAGTCAGAAGGAAGGGATCGCCAGTCTTCGTCTTTACGTGTAGGCAGCTTAGCGAGAAATGCCCAATTTGGAACAATGAACTTCGTGACCAGAAGCGGGTTATTGTCGTTCGCGTTCATTGAAGAAGCAGCCAGGCTCGTAGCATTAAGGAAGTTAGCAATACAGAATAAAGGAGAATAAGTGCAGTTCAAAGGTCGAACCGCCTGAAGGCGATGAGAAAGATTTCAATCTCTTCTTTCACATGTGGAGAACCGGTTAATGAATTAGCTAATTGCCTCTTTCGACATGGATCGGCCTTCCCTTCTTGCGCTTGAAATACAACTCCTCAGGCTATTTATCAAATCAGTAGAGAAAATCTGTTTTCTCTTTTCTGGTTGAGAATGTTTGCTTCGTCGGAGAGTCATCGAGTAAACTCCATGATGGTTCAATTTGGGAGAGAACTTAACGAATTTCCTTCGGCTTTCCTGTCGAACCTCGGTGCATGAACCGATTTCACTGGACATGGAACGCATGCTCTGTCGGGCACCTTCCCTCGCACTTCTCTCCGTTTTTTCTTCCTCCGCTTTCATGTGGCCCAATGCGATCGAGGAAAGGTCGGTCGGAGGATCAGTGACGAACTTTTCCGTTTCGGCCGGTCGTGGTGGGATTTACGTTAAATGTGGGCCTGTCCATGTGTTTATGCAGAAGGGAGTCTGAGCTCGGTTCCTAACACCCGGTCCCTGGCCAAGGCCACACGTTCTCATCCACGAACACATCCGTATTCTGTCTCGATATCTCTTTCCTCTTGAGTTTATTTGTATATTTACATTGCCACAGCTTTCAGGGTTTCTTTAACTCTAAAAAGGGGCCGTATCCAATCCATTTTGAGGCGTGTCATGCCCCAAAACATGAGACTGACTCGGTGTATGGCCGTTCTAGAACAAGATAAGCCTTAAATGCAACAGAATTAATGTTTTATATCCTGGATCAATCATTTATGTTTTTCCTATACGTATTTTTTAAACATATCTGTTAGATTAAATTTACTGTATCTCTCCTTTCTTTGCGCAGAACACCGACGGGAGATGGAGATAACTGCCTCGCCCTCTTCCCGGACCGAAAAGACATCCACCGAAATAGGTACATTTTCCTTCATCCCATCTCAGATCTGTAGGCATGACGTAGAGGCAGAGAAGGGAAAGAATTAGCTCCTCTGTTCATGATGGTGTAACAGTGAAGACGACACAGATGGGTCCGATGACATCATCGGTGGAAAGCAAGGCTTCTTCAAAGGTGATCGAGAGGGGGGAGTCTTCGTCGAAGATGATGGAGAGCAAATCTTCTTCCGTCGAGATCAAGTCTTCTTCTGAGACTAAAGTCTCATCTTCCTTCTCCGCTACTCGAGGTTGGATATCAATAAGATATGAGTGATCAACAAATCCGCACCGTATATGTTCCAACTGTCTACAGATTTAATCACGGTTGTGATTAAACCAATGTTCATGTGAGCCAATGTGAAATCGGGCCAGTTTAAGCTAACGCGATCTGATGCATATCGCCCTTGCATCGAAAAATAGAGCCGAGACACAAAATAATGAAAGTATCTATGTCAAGAGGTTGTGTCGGGCAATTACTTTTTTCAAATGAATTTTTTCTTTTACAATAATACATGTATATGTTACACAACCTTAGTTTGAATTCCTCTCTTCCGCCAGGTTCAGGCCTTGAATTAATTTTTCAATGCTTTACAAATTTTACGTGGGTCGTAAATTCATAAATTTCACATGTTGGAAACTCTTGCCATGAAACGCTGTTTCTTGTCTATAACGCTTGTTTCATACCAAAGCTGTTGTATTTTGGAGATCTTTGGCGAGCATGTCCTTATTTTTATGTAATTCAGAATCGCGGAAGGAAGTGTCGGCGTTTGACAAGTTCAAGCAACTGGATGCGGCTTCCTCCACGTGAGTTTCTCTTAGGCTTTCCCCATCCCCTCCTCCCTCCTTGCATGGCTTCCTCCTGTCCCTTCCTTTTTCTCTTCGAACTCAAACGTTATTCAATTATTCTATATTGAATGCAGCTTTTTTTTTGTTTGCCTGATGCGGCTGCATGTCAGCTTCTCAAGAGACGTTTATCGCTTTTCGCTTCGCTTCGCTTTTTTTTTTGTTCTCTCTCCCTCTTCAGACCCGGTGACGCAGGGCTTCTTGTCGTTTTCGGGGGATTTTCGTTTTCGGTTCCCTTTATGCAAGGACGAGGGTTTTCTCGGGGGTTTCAATTTCTTGGTGACGTTGAATATATAATCTTGCTAGCGGGTCCTCTTAAAGTTGTGTGTTTTCTTTTGAAGTGAATCTTGTTCATAGCATTCGTGTGAGGAAATTCATTGAATGATTGTAGTAAACATGAGATGCAATAGAACTGAGCGAGAAGTCCTGCGTTGTGTTGTTGCATCCTCGTTTTGCCCGGTTTTCTCATTTCCCTCGAGTTCATTTTCAGAAAGCCCGTTTCGAATTCACTCGTCTTGTAAAATCATGAGAAAGGGATGAAAATCGCTAGGAAAATCGGGGCGAAGGGTTGCGGGGAAAGCCGGGCGAGGCGGTTGGTCTGTGACATAATAAAGAAAGCAAGAGCAGGGCGATGATAATGATTGATGCGGAAGAGAGTGGTAAGCAGTGGATGCTAACCGAGCGACTGATTGATCGAGTAGAGGGAGGAGTGAAGGTGGAGGGAAAGGTGGGCGCATCTTTACATTCACCGACCCCAAACTCACCCGCTCCGCCTCGTCTGTCAAAGACATGCTTCTCCAGTGGTGCCAAGCTAAAACCAGGCCCTATGAGGTAACTCACTTTACCTTTCTCTTCTCTCATTCACTAATCTTTCGCCACATGATCGTTGAAACCTCACAGCAGTTTTAGTCTAGATTAAACGAGTTGGCACTGACGAAGTTGCTTCACGATGCACGAATTTACACGTGGGCTTTCATGTTGGTCATTTTAAGTCACCATTTATATTCGTGCTTGTAATTTTCTATCGCAATTTGTAGTACTTACCAATTGTGAACATTTTTCTTCATAATTTTTAAGCATCTAAAATATGTTCAATAGCGATGTCTGATTGTGGCTCGTGATACGAAAGTGATGACCTTGTAGGTAGGTTGGACAGATGGATTGGCTTGTTAAATGTGAGATTATATGCAGAACGTCCGAGTGGAGAACTTCAGCAGCTCATGGAGCGACGGGCTTGCATTCTGCGCACTCATCCACCGACACTTCCCAGATGCGTTCGACTATGACCAGTTGAGCCCCAACGACCGCAGGGGCAACTTCGAACTCGCCTTCCAAGTTGCCGAGTGTGTATTCTATTTCACTCCTTTCGCCTATATTTTGTCATTGGACATTCAATCCGTAGAGGATATGGGACTTATGGGAGGAGTTGTCGATGTTTTCAGTACTGCTGTGAATCGAATAACGATCCTATGCCAAATGATCCCGTTTCCGTTTGGCATCCTAATTTTTGTTTATAATTTCAATGTGGAAGCAAGTCGCAAATTTGTTTAAGGAAAGCATGGTGATAAATGGTGATAAATGGTGATAAAGGTGACAAGCATAAATGAGGAACTCGGAATTCTGTGACTTCATGAGGGGATTCTCCTCGGGACAGGCTTCTTTTCTATATGGGGGCCTGCAAGTCCCTTGTAGCATCTGTAGGAAGACTCCTATTAGTGGGTCGAGACCTTATAGGTGATTCACCCTCACACCTAAACGCACGAGACGAGGAAAGGCCGTGGTAGAACCAACGCTGGATGGAAATGGGGGCACAAGAATAAGTATTCCAAAAGAAAATTACGAGTATGAGAACGCGCACGAGGAGGATGAACCCGAGGCCTTTTTATACGAGCGTCACGTGATCCACGTGGTCGCCGACACACTGCCCTGCTCCTTCCTCTGAGTCCGTCATCCACTCTCATCGCGCTGCACATATCAGGACGCGTTGTTTTATTCATAACTCGAGCACTGGAAGAGGGCTGCTTACCCTAGAATCCTCATCCGCCATAAAAGTTGCATTAATCCTTGTCATGGGTCGATCAGACCCTTCGTATGAAAAGCAGCTATGATTCAGAAGCCAAATGAGATTCATTCACAAAATTTCGTCAAAAAAATATAATCAAAGCATTAACTTCCGTGATAATCATATTTTTTATCTTTCAAACACTGAAGTTAATCATTACAGTTTGCATAACGTTTCCAACTGAATGACTGACCATGGCTGATTTGGAGTCATGGAGAAATATATCTGTGGTTTGATTTAAACCACTGATCGAGCGGCAGAGTGAAATTAAACATGGTAGGCTCAGAATTCCGAGTTTAGACATGCACCAAATAATATTTATGATTGTTTGACCGATTGGTTGTTGAATTTGCTATTCCAGGGACAGGGCAGGAGTGGTGCCTTTACTGGAAGTGGATGACATGGTGCGGATGAAGCGACCGGACTGGAAATGTGTATTCACCTATGTTCAGAGCATTTATCGACATCTTCACGAACGACAACAGCAATCCACCTGATCCCGATCACTTTGTGCCATCCATTCACAACTACTCTTTTTTTTTAAATAAGATGATTATATTCTTCTTTTCCTGAAATTCCTCTCTCCTTTCATGCCTTCCATCTGGCAGTATTGTCTCTTCAGTGTTCCTTCTTTATTGTGATTCTCGTTTATAATTTATTCATCCTGACGCCTTCTTTTCGTGCAAAAGTTGTGATACTCGGATGCACTCTTTCAACACGTTAGCTAGTCTTCAGTGGTGTGTTAAGAAAAAGAAAAACGAAAATGAAAAATGATCACGAACTTATCCCGAAAAAGACAAATTTTACCGGCTGCGGTTGTGCAGGAAAAAAATGAAAGACACCCCTGTTGCCGCCCTCTGGCATTGTTTCGTACGGCTGAGTTCTTCTTTGTCGCTTTGTAAAAAAATTGCCACTTTTTTTATTTTTTTTTTTTTGTATCTCTCAAATGCCTAGTCTTAAAAAGGAGGAACTCGTGCCTCCATCTCTCACGTCTTTTCACGCAACTGCGATTTTTTTTGCACTGGAACTAACCCGTATTGACTGACTGACGAAAGAAAATGATTGGAAAGACTAACTACAGAAATATGAATCTCACCGCAAAAAACGTAGATTTTTCCCCCCTTTAGTCTCATCTATTGTCGAGCAGTGTCTCTTTTATGTCGTGACGTACCGTAGTGGGGACCTAGTGAGTCCCATCCATGCTTGTCTCCGTCTATCTAATACAACGCTGGATATTTGTATTTGTGACTCCTGATGAGCATATTTCATGGGAATAAAAGTTTTTGAGACATCACTCGATGGATTTTGAAATCAAAACTGTGATGAGATTTCTTCACCTTTGTCACACGGATCAACATTCCCAACTCCTTCCGGTTAAAAAAATCCGCCTTCTTGTATTACTTTATGAGATCGTTCGGTGGAATCAAACTGGAATATGCTACATACTCTCTGGTCACAGAATCATCCCACCAAATTTGAAGTTCCTTCTCCGCCAGGAAATGAGGATCTTTTTAGCCTATGCTAAGTTTCCGTGTATATTTTTCCACCTAGCTGCCAAACTGGACCGTTCCTGGTGATATGATTAGTAAAATGTCGAACGTCGAATAAAGTAATACAAGAAGGCGGATTTTTTTAACCGGAAGGAAACAAATATCCAGCGTTGTATTAGATAGACGGAGACAAGCATGGATGGGACTCACTAGGTCCCCACTACGGTACGTCACGACATAAAAGAGACACTGCTCGACAATAGATGAGACTAAAGGGGGGAAATATGTATAAAACGGAAACATTATAATTTGAGGTCTCTAAGTTATCTCTGAAGTGATGAAAGTCGAACAGAGAACCGAACATTCTCAATCACAGGAAATTAAAGCACGCAGGAAAGCGAGCCATCGGAATACTTTCCATCGACTTTGTATGGCTTCCAGTCTTCGTTAATAAACTTCACATTTCAAATTCTGAGGAATCCACGAACGAGAGACGAACGAAACACCTGACTCTTTTGCTTCTTTAGAGGTGATGGCATGGATTATTTTTGTCGCGAGATATAAACCTTTGCATTGGAAAGTACTCTGTGAACTCTTGTCTATTTTGGATTGCGTTGGTTACTGTACACCCTGTAAAGTTGTTGAATGATGAGGTCGTGAGAATGTGGCATCTCCCGGCGATTATTCAGCCAAAACAAGAATGAGGACGATGAGGGTTGGATCCTCCCCATCTGCCATGGCCGATTTCAGGCCCAATGACTGTAGTAGAAACCAACTCGGGCACAGGAAGCTGGAAGGTCTCCAAGTGAGTCTCTGTCGCTGGAATCTAGTCCCCCGTAGGAACCCCCCCCCCCCCCCCCCCCCCCCCCCCCCCCCCCACCGCCCCCCCCCCCCCCCCCCCCCCCCCGAGCCTGACCTCAAGTAGCTTCTCAACTCTCTTGTAATCCCCAGGGAGACTCAATTTGGTCTACGTGGTTTCGTTGATATGCTGCTGGGGTTCTACGAAAATCCCACTTCTAGAGACAGGAGTACCTCGTACTCGGGGTCTTCCTTTCCAAACACTCCCTGACTTGCACTAGATGTTAAGTCAGATTTCCTTGCTTTCTAAGACGTGAGCCCTGTCCTAGGAACCAAGCTCACCGTGAAATATACCACGAGCCAGTCACCAGCCTCGTACCACATGATACCGTGTTGTCCATTGTTTCTGGCAAAGAGGACTCGCTTTTATTCTTCTCTCTCTTCCAGCAACCTGTTGCGTACGGAAAGCTAGCTGGCTTCCTCCCAGTATAATTTTTTTCGTGTCTACGAATGAGTAGTTCCACCACGACTTCGACTATCCGACAGAACAGCCTTTCCCTGGCCAATCACCCCGCTTCGACTTTATCTTCAAAGAATCGACCGACATCCATACGTAATTCGTCGAAAGAAAAGTCGAAGCGAGGGGAGAAGATACCACAACCGATATCTGGGCTTGTTAAGCGAGACGCGTTCCATTTATGTCGTCGGCGATCTATCTAGCTCCGTGAAGGCGAGCGATATTATATCTAGCCTACAGTGGCGTAGCCAGGATTTCGCTAAAGGGGGGCGAAAAATTCCATAACTTTCCCTCCTGGGGAGGGGAGGATGCAACCAGACCAGAGTTGGGGAAGGGGGGCTACAACCGAACTCGGAGAGCCAGAAGTTCTCTTCCCCCGCGCCCCCCCCCCCCCCCCCCCCCCCCCCCCCCCCCCCCCCCATCCTGCTCCCTAGCTATGCCTCTGTTGACCTTGCGTCCATCATCACCATGGTTTCCAGATATTACATTATAATTATGTCGTATGCATAAATTATGCATACATTTTGGTTTCGTATCGGTGCCCGACTCTAATATTCCCGCTGAAAGACATCCTTGTTCTCGTCATCTCGTTGTAACTGTGAGGTTGAAGCAGTGATAGCAATCGAGTGGAGGAAAATGACAAGCCCCATGGGAGATGGGCCGAGAAATTCCAGGTAGGCCAATCTTAGGTCCAATTTGCCCCATTCTCGAGGGTCGAGACTCTTAAGGTCTCGGTCCTCGCTTTACGGCGAAGACCGAGACCTGACCTGATGACAGTCAGTGGGCTGGTCCTAGACCTAGTTAGTTTTGATGCTTAATCTCATTCGTAATTGCTATCGTGATTTTGTGGCATTCATTGAGGACCTGAAGACTACTCATCACGATGTCCTGATAGAGGAGGGACTGAACAAAAAAGTGAAAAGTACTCGAAAAGAAAATTTTTATATTACTACATTCGAATATGGGTCGTCCCACTTCTGGTCTCTTTTCCCGTCTCCTTTCTCGTCCTCGTGGTCGTTCAACTTCCGTGTGTGCCGAAGACTCCAATTTCCCCTTTCCCCTCGTCCTCGATCTTCCCCCCGACGATCCGGCATTCTACCTTTCCCTTCCGAAGGAGTCGAGGACACCTCACCGGACCTCTGGCGTCGTCGAGGACAGAGCAGCTCGGGACGACGTACGCGTCGTACCGTTGCAAGATCTCGCAGCACTGCACGGTGCCGCATTCCATCCGACGGGGTCCCTGGTGAAAACTTGCGGTTCCAGCCGCGTCGGAACTCATCGATGCGGACGACTTCGGCTCGTTCGGTCCACCCGCGGCGACGACGCACGAGGGCGGAGAACGAGTCGCACTCCCCAGATCGCTCCGGTTATTTGGACTCGAGTGTGCATCCCGGGATCTGCTCCCAATCGGTTTTTCTTCTCTCTCCCCCGAAAGATGAATCGGTTTGGCAAAAGGGTCCTGCAACGACGCAGAACAGAAGTAGTTGCAGAGCCTTTCCAGCAACCAAGAGCGTCCCTTCGCACGAAGGTGCTCGCAGTTCGGTGGAGTCTCCGACGGACGATCCTCTTTCGTCTCTTCGGAGTTCCCTTTCAGAGGTGCGAAAGTCGGTGACTGCTCTGAGTGTTCCGCGACCGACACCTTTTCTACGAGCACGATCTGCTTCTCCGAATCTCGCGAGGGCCGAGGGCAGATCGGTCCGGAGCACGACGAGTCTAATTTGGATGCGCTGGAAGAGCAGGTCGTGAGCTTCCGTGGGGCTGCCTCCACGTTTCCCACGGCGATCTGGGAATCTTCTCGAGGCGGCCGAGAGGACACGGGCTTTCCAGAACTCACGGAAGGGTCTCGTGCATCGAGCTGGGTCAGAGAGGGCTCCGAAACGCTCGTCGAAGGTTCTCGAGGAGACGGCTGGGCCACCGAAAGGCTGCTCGAGACGTATTCCGATACCGGATGTGCAGGGGGGATATTCGGGTCGCTCGTCCAGGGACCTCCTGGAACCGACTCTTCCAAAACCGGCAGCTTCGAGGGACTGCTCCGGGGTTCTTTTCCCACCGTCTGAGCCTCCCGTTTCCCTTTCGACGGAGAAAAGGTATCGAGTTTCGGCACCGGTGATGCCGTCCCCGGTCGAGTCTTTTCTCGCACCGACTGCTCCGGATCGTTTCGGTCGCTCTGATCTGTCGACACCGACGCGGACGTTTCCGGAGCCACCGCGAAGGGGAAAGCCTGCGTGAGGTCCGAGGACCGTAGGACCTCCAATACCACTTCTTTCACGCGTTTACGGTCGATCGTGCACCAGCATTCTAGGGGGGTCGAGCGAAGGGGAGAAATCGAGGTCTTCACGGGACCGTGAGTCTCTTCGGCTGCTTCGGTTTCTTTCCACCTTTTCGAGGGTTTCCACGGAGGAGTCGCCCCCTCGGATTCCACTGTGGCATCCGGTCTGGTTTTTCCGGGTGCCGACGTCGCTCCGGCTTCAACAACGGGGGAACTTTTTTCGGCTTCCAATCTCGAGGATCTTTCGGCTAGCCCAACGGCAGCTGCCGTTTCGGAGATCGTAACATCTGCCTTTCCGTCGCTCTTAAATCGAGTTCCACCGAGAGACGAGGAGACTTTCTTCCTCCCCGAGTCCACTCTCTTCGGTTCCGTCTGACCGGAAGGAAGGAAAGGAGCAGCTAAGACCGGTCGGATCGAGGCGGCGGCAAGTCCCCGGGATTCGCCATTCCGAGATGGGGAAAGCGACGAATCGATGTCGACGAAGGACTTTTCCGGAGTGGGAAGTTCGGATGAAGGACCGGCTGATTCTGACGAAGGACCGAGGGTACTCGGTGATTCCGATTCCGGGGAAGCTGGTTCCGCGATCGTCGGATTCTCGGGCAGACGATCGCATTCGGCGCCCGACGGATGATGCACTTTTGGAAGGTCGCAGGATCGCTCCAGCAGATCCGGAAAGACGAACCGACAGAATCGAGATCCGAGCCGGGAGAAGGACTCGGTCATTCCCCACGACTTCCACGCGCTTCCGCTTTCTTCCACCGAAGTCTTCCTTCTCTTCGCGTCCATCGCCTCCTCCTCGATGGAAATCTTCCTTTTCTTGTCATTTTCTTCGTTCTTCACTTCCTCGCCGCTCATCGGGAACGACCGTGGTTCGACTCATCGACCGCGCCGCCTCGGGTTCATCGCCGGAGTCATGGAAGAACTCGGGCCGAGGAGAGAAGAAGAGAAGAAGAAACTGGAGACTTCGCAAAATCGCTCGAGCCTACAATTTCGATGTGAGAGTCAGAACCTGAACGAGAAGGAAACAAGGCCGAGAGACTCATAAAAACAAGACGGCATCTTGGTATGCACTTTCACGTCATCACCGTTATGTCCGGCCGAAGCCTCGGTCTGTCATTCTTCCATTCTTCCAAGAACCTTCGACTTGAAAGGATATCACCTGCCCCACCCACCCCCCCTCCTCCCCTTCTCTCAGTGAAAGGCATTTTGGATTGGGAACGGATTCGCAATCCTGGTCCGCCTGCCTTCGTTACCTTGTGTAACCGCTCGGATTTCACCGATAAATTTCGGTGTGGAAGTCTAACGACCATCGTCATTCCGTGGGGCAGAGGTAGCAGCGTCGTCGGTCGAGTTCTCTCAGCGATTTCGTCCCTTTGGGTGGACCGAATTCAAGACTCGCAGGCGTCGGCCCGTGACTTTTCTCGTGCGTCGGATCGGGTGAAAGGCTCTAGTCGTCGATCGAAAAGGTCTGAGGTGATGGCCGAGGAGAAAAGGTGGTGCATAAGATCCGTCTCTTACTTTTCCCTCACGCTCTCATTTAGCCAATCCTTGCTGATCTTTGTCTGCGGCTCGTCTTCCAACCTCTCCCTTATTTTCATGATTGCGTGCATTTATGGTCCCCCTCCCCCTCCCCCTTTATTGCCCTGTTTGTCAGGTGCTCCCCTTTTATTGGGAACGAGCAACTTCCGGGCTGTATTTGTCGATATTTAGTGCTGCTAATTGTCATCTCTGGGAATCGAGTCCGTCCCTAATAAGAATATAATAGCTCTGTTGACGGAAGTAGAGCGAAGTGCGAGGGGTTCTGGAAACTCCGTCGTCCGCCCGGAGTTGCTTGGAGTTGCTTGCAGCGCTGCCGCTGCTGGCCCGTCTCAAAAACCTCTATTCGACCATGGTCTCTTTCATCGGTCGTTCAAATAATTTTCCTTACAGAAATAGGGTATAGGCTGAGAAAAATAAAATAATGGATGGAATTCGGTGCAACTCCTCATCTTTTTGGCTCGAGAGCCATAAGACTTTCATTCGTCGAATGATAACTACGGTTAAAGAGGTGACTTCAGATAATGATATGAGACAACGATGATCGATGAAAAAATAAAAAATTAATTAGGGGTGGATAATTTCCAGTAATACGCTGAGGGTAGAGGGGACAGCAAACAAAGCTTGGATTTGAATCCATATCCATTCCAAGACAATACACGATAGACGTAGGCTACATATACCTGGGCTACTCAGGTAGAAACTGAAATATCAAGGAAAAACATAAGTGGAAACAGCTGATGAAACGCCGAATAGCAATACGTATTTCGCTCAAGGTCAGCACTTCTGCTGATGATTCTGAGGGGTCTGCAGACGATTGAGGTTTGCAGACGTCTACTATGACGTCATGACGCCTCAGTCTCATGGACCATGGCGGCCTCCTAAATATTATCCTCACTCGATCATGCTTCCTTGTCCTCAAAGTACAGAGTGACCTAACGCCTCGGTTCATTGGCACTGTACTGATTTTTTTCCAGCTCTGTTTTGGTCTGAAGCGTATCCCAGTTTTCAGAAAAATTTCCCCATTTTAAAACCTACAAATGTGATATTGTAGAGACTACTCTCGTCAGTTGTGGTTCCCTGTTGCTCCTTTGCTAAGTACCCCTCCCTCCACCTTTGGTTCAATACCTCCTGCTCCTTCGACTGAATAGGCCTAAAGTGACAGAAGAAGATATATTTGCATGACTTTTGTTGGTTAGTTTTTCTGCCTGCAAGGTGACGAGAAACAAGGTACAATGGGTGTCCAAATTTCATGAAAAATGAAAAACCTGGTCTATGAGAGGTTCTAGTTCAAGATTTATCATTTCTTCCTACTACCAAGAAAATAAACGGTATTGTCATACCCTCAATCATCCACTATAAATATATGGTAGTTGTACAGCCACCAGAACCCTATTGATCCATATTCCTTCTGCAATCTTTCAAAGCGATCCTTCTGCATTCTTGGATATATTGCAAAGCAATATATCCAAGCCAGACCTTTTGAGAGACCATGATTGATCTTAAAGTAGTCATATCATTGCTGTGGCATTCAGATAATCAAAATTTGATCCTAAATCTTCCACATATCAGAGTCTGTCTTTATACCAAGGATGGAACTGAGAGCACTGGTGGGCTAAGTTCACTTTCCCATTGATTGCATCCTCACGAGGAATGTGGAAGGAATTACAAGGAGTGACAGGGCAATGGCACAACATATGGACTGGTGCTGCAGCTACAGCATCACTGGGATTTGGATATGCACTTTGGAAGGTTATGTCAAATGCTAAGACTCACGAAGATGCACCTCCATGCACTAGTAAGAATCCTTCATAGCCTCTAAAAGTTTCATGGGCTTAATTGACAGACTATAATACCTCCTCCTTATTTGTACTTGATTATCTTCCATCAGGTGGTCCACCAGGTCTCCCAAACCCAGGCAACAAGTGCTTCATGAATGCCCTGCTACAAGCTCTGGCACCATGCGGCACCATACATCACTGGCTGATGTGCCAAGTGAGAAAACAAAAGGAGAGTGAAGATGAAACTGTGCTGGAAACCCTGTCAGAAGTTTTGGCATGTAGGTTTGAGTTCTTGAAAGTTTATCTGATGTTTCAGGAGATACTAGACATGATCAGAGGAATGATGATGTGGTCAATTTGCAGATTTAAATGGACAGTCCAGCAATACATCTGAACCAGCATCTAAACTGCTTAAGGCTGTTGAGGATCATGGCTGGATCATTTCCTCTGAGGAGCATGACTGTCATGAATTACTGCATGTGCTGCACACCTGTCTTGAAGAGGAGCTTCTGCCTGCCAAGCGGAAGGATAGCGAGCAAGCAATCTTTTCAGCTCTGTGCAATACCATTGGAGAACCATTGGTGAGGAAGAGTCACATCAGGGTATTCTCTGATGTGAAGAGTCAAAGACATTGAAGCAAGTATTGGCAAGTATATGGAAAAATTAAAGTCAGAACCATTATTTTAAAATTTAGCCTAGCTAAGAAGTTAGCATGATTTTTCACATAGAAGTGAAGACCCATGATCCATTCTCCTTCCACCTTGCTACCATCATCAAGTTATTCTTCTTGTATCCTTGTGATTATATTTCTCATTTCTCAACTTAACTAGGGTAAAAACATGCTTTATTATTGGGTCAGAATCATGCTATATTTTCAAACCCCCAAATGAAATACATAATGACATGGTATTGATGGCTAATAAGCCCTTATTATCATGTTATCTTCATTGGAGTCCTGCTCTTGTTGTCTGACATAGTAGAGTGCTCATTGAAAATTTGTAAAGTTTTTGCTAGCCAATCTGAAAATATTTAGGGCAAGATAAGGAATTTGTTTTGATGATGTTGCCAACATAGTGATTAATTCAGTGTAGAGAATGACCAATTTATGCCTCCTTTAGGGGAATGGAAAGACAGTGGGGAGTGGAATCCACAGGCGTGTTGGCATGGCAAGAAGTTTGGGATCGACTGTGATGAACTCTATGCCTGTGCAAGGCCTGCTTGCACGGGAGATGATGTGCTGCTCGTGTTTCCAGAAGACCCCTACTCACTTTGACTCTTTCCAGACACTTTCTCTTGTCCTCCCGCAGTCCGGTCAAAGCACAATGAGACTTGAGGACCTCCTCTCTCTCTATCTCTCATCTGAAATCCTAATAGATGTGACGTGTGACCGCTGCTCCACTCGGGCTGGAGACACAGACCCTGTCAAGAGACAGTTCCTTAAGAAACTCAGCATTGGCAAAGTCTCACCTCTCTGTCCTCATAAGATGAGCACATTAGAACTTTGCCCATAGTTCAATTCAATGGATTTGTGTTGGTGCAGTTGCCGCAGTGCCTATGCCTGCACATTCAGCGGTCGGTGTGGTGTTCCAGTGGTGCAGCCTGGAAGAGAGATACGCAGGTCCAGTTCCCACTCCTCTTCTCCATGGAAAAGTTTCTCCATCATCATCCATCTTCTTTTCTCAACCCTGTATGTCTTTCTTTCAATCCCACTCTGTTCCCTTCCATCTTACTCATTTGCTAATGACAATATTTCAATAATTAGTTTCTGTTCTCATGTCTGCCTTGTAGTAACATCATGTGATTGGACTATCCTTCTTGCAGAGAGGGAATGGCAAGATGATTGCAAATGCAAATTGATCTTTTTGTAAAACTACAATCGTGAAATTTAATAATTTGCTTTTTTTTTGCCTAGGTCATTGTCTCTTTTATTATAATTGAAGAGTCCTCTTTCTTTCATTGTTTTAGATCCAAACTGGTGGATTGGTTGGTGGGAACCCTCACCTCCGGGTCCCATTCATAGGCCAGAATCTTCTACGGACCTCATCCTTGAACACTGGCAGTCTCAGGTCTCTCAGTCCCTTATCCCTTCTGAAGGATGAAGAACTTGAATTTATTCACTCTTGGTTGTCTTTAATTACAGCCTGCATCACCCAGGAATACAGCAGAGTGGCCGCTCAACTTACAGTCTAAGATCAGTGATAGTTCATCATGGAATATTCAGCTCGGGTCACTTTGTGACTTATCGTACACACCGAAATCACGGGCCACAGTGGTTCTTTGTGTCAGATTCTCACATCCGTCCATGTTCTGTTACTGAGGTCCTCAACTCAGTTGCCTACATGCTCTTTTATGAACGCATCTGATCATCTTCATGCTTGTCATTGTCTGTGATCCATTCCTTGGTCCCAAATGTTCAATGTGTTCTCTAGATCTCATAGATTTTGCTCATGGTGCCCATTGCTTTTAGATTCCCTAGTGAAGTCATGTTTATAACTGTCATAATGTCTTGTACTTTGGTTGATGCAATTAAAAATGTGTGCTCTGCCAGGGAAAATACAATTCTCTTCAAGTTGGTTGCAGTCTATTTAGAAGAGTTGCATGATGACAGTCCTGTTCCTGCTCCATCCTCAGTCAGGCTGGAGGCCTCTGCATTTCTTGAGGCACCTTCTCAGCTACTGAACATTACAAGCAAATACCAAAATGAGTCACAGAGTGAAATGCAATGTGCTGCTGTCAGCCTTTCAGGGGGGGATGGATTTCTATCCTCTTAACCCCTTTGCTGTTTACCCAAGTACATATTCGGACTTGTGTAGTAGAAGCCCAAATGTGTTCTTGAGCTCTGACCATTCACCATTTCTAGATTATTTCATTATTTCAATGCCATTTGTGTGTGTAATAGCTCTCTTCATTAGTTTTTGTGACATCACATTTTTTTGTTACAGAAGCAAGTAAACAGTCCCAATTTTTATATCACATGGGGGATGTTGGATATTTTTTGCATGAAAGTGAAAGGGTTAAGAGATGAGAGTAGACTAGATAAAAGGAAGAGTCAAAAGGCAGGCAGTCATTCCACTCGACAGTCACTTATGTCTCACTATTCATCAAATTTCCTCATCTTGGGTCATTGTGCATCATCACATCTTCTCATCTGATTATTAGACAATCAGGATTTTCCAAGTATTCCTTTTCTGGTAGGTGGAGCTGATCATATGTAAGATTCATTTCACAGAAGAAAAACAAAATTAGAAAAGACACTGATACTGGTAGAATTTCAGCTAGAACCATTCAAAAGATGTCCTGTATGTCCCTCCCTGTTCAGTAATTTTCAAGAGCAGTGTATCATTTGTTTATGTACTGAATGATTGAGAGAAAGCCCATGTAGTTCTCTTCCTTAAGAAAGATGAGAAGGATAAGTCAAGGATACCAGGATAATCAGCCATTTGAGAGTCTTGTACATTGCTGTGGTACACATTGCTGGGTTTCTAGCATATCAAGGGTTGATGCATGGATCATGGCATGGTCTCAATAAAAGGATATTATGTTTGTCTAGCTTGTTGGAGGGAAATCTGGATGTAGTGTATTTAGTTGAGATCAACCAGTATATCGGTTGCTGATATAAATAGGCTGATATGGGCATGTTGATGAGTATTCACATTGGCTCTTTCAAACCTTCAGATTTTTGCTAATATCAGAAGTAGAATTCTGTTCTATCTATACAGTCATATGACTAGGACTATCTTTTTCGCACCCATATAGAAACCCTGAGACATATGATATAGCCTATATGGTATCATCTGAGAGGCAAAGAATCACTGGTCTTTTGCTCTGCTTAAGTTCCTGGTTTGGCACATAGAGGCAGACCTTCACTCTAAGGCTTGGTCTGGTCAATGCTTTGCAACCTAGCATTGAGTTCGTCAAGGAGAATTTGAAATAAAACCAAGTTGTCCTATTGAATCTTAAAATACGGTTTTGTTTATGCTGAAATATTGGTTGATCTCTAGTATTTAGAATTCACTAAATTGATGTTCATCAAATTACTTTTAAGACAGTCTTGCTTGAATATTTAAGACAAAATCCTGTGATGGACACAGGCAGGTCTAGTGTAACATCAGTGGCCATAATAGCTTTGGGGAAGCAGAGGAAGGCACAAAAGGATAAAAGAACATTAAGGAATCAAATCTCAGCCTCTTGATTGCCAGTTAGGTGTGCTACTACTACTCCACTGAACCCAGGACATTCAGTTGCACCTCTCAGTGCCTTCTATACTGTTACCATTACTCTAGACCTATTAATTTAATTTCAGTTATCATTAACTATTGGTTTCTCCTCAAAATGGTTAAGTTTTAATGCAGTTATGTTAAGATTTTCAAATTGGCCAATCTCAAACGTCAGCTACTAAAATATGTGCTGATATTCTAGCATTTTGTGAAAGCTATAAAGGAAACTATAATTGCTACTGCAAAAATGTTTCTTAAAACTGATCTTATCTTAAGAGGTGAAGACCAGTCTTCCAGTTTTCATATCTAGGCAAATTAGTTATAGGTTTAGAACTACATACAGTTTAGTGCAAAAGTAAGTGAACCCCCATGCATTATGCATAAACATGCAAATAACATTTTTAAGAAGCAACAAAATCACAAAGCAAGTGATGCAGATAATCAATGAACAAAGCTGTTTATTGTCCTGGGTTGGCTTGAATGTTCGTGCTTCAGCCAGTGAATAATCAGCAAAAAACTAAAAAACCAAGGGTGCAAAAGTAAGTGAACCCCTAAAGATATTCACCAGCCACTGCCAACAAAGCAGCTCTGGGCCACGGAACTGCTGCCACCAGCACTCCACTCACTGTACACTGGGTCCTGGCAGTGTGCTGGCCCCACCCCAACCGCTTGAGTCCGATTGAGTCAGCATCAGGCTGGCNCAATAAACAGCTTTGTTCATTGATTATCTGCATCACTTGCTTTGTGATTTTGTTGCTTCTTAAAAAAGTAATTTATATGTTTATGCATAATGCATGGGGGTTCACTTACTTTTGCACTAAACTGTATAAACATTTCTATGCATACATTTATATACATTTTTGGAGCTTTAGCTCAAGCAGTATTTAGTAAGAAAGATGTTACTGCTGACAACTATAAAAAATGTATTTGTGGGTCATACCCATTACTGATTATTATGTAAATTAATTCCATTCAAAGAAAATAAATTTGCTTAGCATAGCATATTAATGCATAGCTTTTACTGTGGCCACTTTTAAGGAAAGAATGTTTGAGCATTTCAGAGATGCAACTATCCATAGTTGCTGACATGCAGATCTGTAAGCTTCTGTCTTTGTATCTACTTGAGAAAAAAAAGCTAAAAAATTGACTGGGTCAGTGTTTATTACTTTTGGGAACTGCTTCTAAAAAGTGAATCAGGACCATATATAGGAAGGCTCAAAAGAAAGTAAACCCCTCCTGCAATGTCTGCTAGGCAATGACTCAATTTAAGTACTACTGCAAAACCATCTTTAAAAAAGAAATCCAGCTTGAAATCTGAAACATACACAACCAAGTTTGTGTTACAATAGGATGGCACACCATCCAAACAACATAATATACTGTCACCTTTCAATGGTAAAATGTTTCAAATTTCTTTGAACTTTAATGTGTAACCCTCACACAGTCCAGACCTGAATCCTGTGAACTATTTTGTCTGGGGATCTGGAATCAAAGAGGATCACCAATTACAGTATTATCCCTATCACTTTGCTAACTTTTATCCTGTTGACAACAAGGGATAGAAAAATGTCATTGTGCTGTATTTCCTTGTGGGACTGCTAGGAGTGTATCAATACTGAGCCTACATCATTAAACATTTCCTCTCTGCTTTTCTTCATTGTGTCAACCAGTTAGCTGCAAATCTCAAGCTGACAATTTATTTATCATGTGCATTTTTCCTTCCTTCAGATATCCTTTTGGTGATCAGAGAGCATGGCAACCCCAGGTGGAGGATATGGGGTCTTTCAGGGAGGAGATCCCAATTCTATGGGATTCCCTGGAACCCCACAACCACCCCAGCCATCACCAAATCCCATGATGATGCAGTCCCAAGGTCTCTTTTCAGTCTGCTTCACCATATTATTATGATGTGGCCTATGATGAACTTAATTTGTGGCTTTTTTAATGTAGGTCAGATGGGGATGCAGTTTGGAGGAGGAGGTCAGTATGGATATGGAGGTCAGGGAGCAGGTGCAGGAGAACCAGGGGGTTTCTTTCCTGGGGGAGGTGGGCGGTATTCCTCTGGTGCCCCTGGACCCCAGCCACAGATGACTGGACCCCAGTACTCTTGGCCCCAGCAGCAGCCACAACAGCAAGTTACCTCAAGTCCAGCACAGTATCAGCCTCCCAGTCAATACTATCCAACCCAGTCTCAGGCTCAGGCTCAACAGTTCTCTATGGCCCCCAGGTTCCCTCAGGTATGCCCCCAAATGAGCAATTCAGGTTTAACCCTTTGGCATCAGGGGAGGTGGCGCTTAACCATCCCCACAGGAGGCTAAATCACCCCCCCTGGATTTGCAAAATAGTTATTGGAATTAATAGTATATACAAATGCAAGAGGTGCCAGAAACCTCCAAATAAAATTTTGGGGAAAGCCCTTATATGTGACTGATTTAATCAAACTTGCATAAATATATGTCAACTGCACTGACATAGGCTGACATGTATATGCGTCAACCAATGCTTAGGGTTAAACTAGCTTAATTTTGTCAAATTCAGACACACATAATAAATTATGGTGCAGACAATCTCTTGATTTGTGTGATGTATCATAATTGCATATATCTTGGGCAAATATTTTCATTTTTTTTTTTCCATTGAGTTTGTATTCTTTTCAAAATTCCAAAGGTAATTGTTAATGAATGTGTCAATTGAAATGGAATGAGTGAATTGTGGTGGAATGATTGCCAGGGGAGCCCAACACCACAGCAGCAACAGTTCATGCAGCAGCAACAGCAGCAGCAACAAGCTCGCCTTCCCATGCAGGCCATGGCTCAACAGCAACAACAGCTGCCGCAACAGCAACAGCAGATGCCTCAGCAGCAACAACAGCTAAGACCAGGTGCCCCCATGGACTCATCAAACATCTCACAGGCAGCAGCTGCTTTCTCACAGCATCAGCAACAGCAAATGCAGCAACACCAGGGGATGATGGGAATGCCTCAACATGGCACCCCTCAACAAGTTCTTCCTGGCAGTGAAAGTCCTGCTCAACATCACCAGCAACAGCAGCATCAACAGCAACAGCAGCATCAACAGCAGCAGCAGCATCAACAGCAACAGCAGCATCAACAGCAGCAACAACAGCAGCAGCAGCAGCAACAACAACAGGCAGCATTATTAGAGGCTCAGCAGCAACAGCAGCAGCAACAGCAACAGCAGCAGATATACATGACTCCAGCTTTCTTTTGTAAACTGGGACAAGAAGCAACAATGGAAATAGTGTCTCGCTCAGCAGATCTCTTCAGTAATCTCAAAATGCTCCAGGTTAGCTCCATGTCATGTGTAGCTGTACGATTGAGGAGTTCTCTGGAAAAAGGGCATATGTGCAAAATATCCAATTCGAGATAAATGGCAAAAACTTGCCACAGCTAATTTGCAGCTGATAAAAATCTCAGTTTTCTGGCAAGTGACCTTACACTTTTTTCCATTTGAACTTGGGGTTTCAACAAATTTCGTCATCTCACATTGCTAAGTTGCAGGCGTAAAGTCTTAATGCACATACGCCCTTTTTCCATTATCCATGTTGCTGAAACTTTTTTCAATCAGTCTTTCACCACTTCTTTCCAGTTAAATATCATAATTTACCAAGAAATACATCTACAAATTTCAATTCAACTCTTCCTGAAAAAAATGGTAATAGAAGGGTGGATATTCAGGACAAGTTTCATTCACCAATTACTCATCAGTAATCCATTGTTAATGTATTCATCTGAATCTCCAACTGCTTCATGGATTTCGCCAACTTCTTGCAATCTTCCAGAGGCTTGAATGACTGGGCCACTTACTTCCCCTTTCCTCCTGTCTGGCCACTTCCTCATTCTCAATTTCAGTTCGAAAGAATGGATTTATTTCACCAAAATTGTTCAGTGATGCAGATGCTAATAGAATATTCTTGGTGGTAGCCATATTGAAATTGTGAGGAAGTTGGCCTGCTATATATTGAAAGCATAGGAAAATCTGCTTCTCCTTTGCTGAATATGCATTTTAACTTCCTGCTGACCACCCTATCCTATGACATGTCACCTCAAGCAGCATATTGACATGGATATGGAAAAAGGGCATATGGGTACTTACACCCTTTTTCCAGAGAACTCTTCAGTTGTGATAAACTGTTTTCAGGTAACTTTCCCTTTTATCCTAACCACACCCCACTTCATCACTAAATTCACCTTAATATTAAGGAATCTTTCATCAAGCACTTCAAACTTTAAAAAGTGAAAATTTGCAAAAAATACTAGGCTTTAGCATGACCAAGAATTTGGTGTCTGTAATAAGAAGTCTGTTATCTCTTCATGCATCTGATGAGGTCAATGAAGCAGGAGTGGACCACAACACATAAGGGAATGAATGGGGAATCAGGATTATATTGCATATGCACCTGGAGAGTCATTCCATATGAACTCAACCAATATTAATAGAAAGTGGTGCCTGGCCATCTTTGATTTGGCAATAAAAATTCTCAGTGATTGCAGTCAATCTAACAACCCCATGTTATAATGATCACCTCCATTGCATCTGTGTTTAGCAAGATATTGCCCCCCAAACTTCAGGGGAAAACTAAAAAACACCATAGACAGCAAAATTTCCATCTCTGGAACCATTTATCATATGGAGGCCTGCAATAGCTTCAACCAGAGCTCTTTGGTAGATTAACAATTTGCTTCATAAATTCCTGGAGTTGGAATGAGATTTCAGCATCATTCTGGAGTTTGAAATTTAAAAATGTATGCAAATTTTACCCCAAATATTCCTATGTATCAAGGGAAAAGACAAACTTCTTGTTTCACTCAGTTGATATTCTATTTGGAAAAAAAAGCTACAATTTACAATTGCAGCCACCAAATGGAACAATGCAAGGAGCAAGCACAAGTGCAGAGCGCAAGACCAAGATTGTGAACAGTCTCCAGACCATTCGACATCTCTTTAAACGCCTCCGTGTCCTTTATGACAAGGCAAATGAGAACTGTGCCCAACTTGAGGACCTACCTTCAGAGGTAAGGGTGTTTTTTTTTTCCTTGTAAGTTGCTGGTAGCTGTATTTTCTTCTTCATGGTTGTCAAAATTGCTGCCTCTTTCCACAATGTTGTAGAAGCTGATACCATTCAAAGATGATCCAGAGAGTGGAAGTCGTTTTGATGATCGTAAGATGTCAGACGCAGTGCGGCAGGCTACCGAGGAGCATCGTTTCCTCATGGAGGTGAGGGGACATGCCATAAGCAGGGATCAGGTGTGGAAAGGAAATGGAAAATGTGGGAAAATGGACCCAACAGGCAGAAACCGTGATCGCAGAGGCATCTATTGTGGTGCAGAAATGTGCAGTTCCCCGTTCAACGAAGGCGAAAGGGGATGAATGGGAGGGGGGAATTTGTGTACTTTCCAGCAGGATCTCCTCCAAATATCTCACATGAAATAATCTCTATGGGCTGTTTGATGTCTTTTATAGGAGTAAGTCTACATGGATTTTATCCTGGTTGATCACTGTTGAAACACCCGGAATATACATATCCACTCAAGAACCGAACCTATATTGTGTTAATTGTCTGAGTAGACGTTGAGGACAAGAGGATAGGTCCTCAGTGTATGATCTGCAAAACTGTAAAAATAGTTCATGAACAAATTTAATAGAGAAATGACTTCAATTTATTGGCACTAGCACACCATCAGCCAGATATAGTGCCATTAATTATATTTAAAATTGTCATACAGCATACGTGTCATACGTCCTTCACCGAAACATACTATCTGATAGAATACATTGCTGGTGTCCTTTAGAGCGAATTTAAGGCACTCACGTCAAAACTTAGCGTCCTTGCCTCGAAAAGTAACATACGCTCTATTGTTTGACATTGGGGAGGTTCTGGTCGGTTTTGCATTGTATGGCTAACGGCGGGCATCAATCCACAAGACTCCTCGCCTTCCCATTCAAAGCAATGGATCGTCCTTTGAGTTTTGCCAAAGGTGTGTTAAGTTTTGACTCCAGGTACGTTAGAAATTGATTGTAGGACGTTTTGTTGTCCCATTTGGGGAGCGGAATTTGAATCTTGACAGCAGTACGCACAGTTTTGACATGGGTACGTTAAGCTTTGAAAGTCTCACATGATCACATTATCGCCTTTTCGTATTCAGAGGAGTTATTTTCACTGTCGCTTCTTGGCTATCCATAGACGTTCCTAACCCCGTATGTTAGAATTTTGAAGAATGTACTTTGATTTTGACAAAGGGACGCCCTTTTGACTGCCAGATGCATAGATATGAGAAAAGAGTGCAGAGTTTTGCAGAGCATACATTAAGTTTTGAAAAATGTCCATTGAGATATGAAATAGGGCTTTAGCAATTGGCAAAAACTGTAATTAATATGAATGAGAAGGCAGAGAATTAAAGCTGCAGTGTGGTCAATGTACCTTCTCTCATCCCACCATGTGCAGGTTGCAACAAAATTATTTGACCTCTTTGGTAGTAATTCAAGAGTGGCTAAAAACTAGTAACTGAAGATCACCTTCACCAGAACTGGCTATCTGTGACCATTTAGAACACACATGGAAATATGTTGCTTTGTTACCACCCTTTTCTTGACACAATCTTTGATGATGGAACTGATGTATTCAATTACATTCAGATCTGGAGAGCTGACTAACAACCCCCTGTTTAAAAGAAAGTAAATCCTGTTGTTTAGAGAAGCTCTTAAGTCAAGTGCTCAAAAGCATTGTACAATGTGAATTGTAATGATTATAACTTTCTGCACATTCATCAGTTCTGGCTCTCCTATAGGTGTGTGGGAAACATATCAGTATTTGATATGTTGATCATTTTTCCTTCTAATATTGAATAATTAATATTCCTCAAAACAAAATTCTGTTATTTTTATTTTTTCCTCAATGAAGGGGTCAAATTACACCTTGTTACACCTTGGAGTACTTGTGCTTCTCCTTGCTGCCATGCACATCAAATATGTATGAAGGGCTGAAAGGCAAAGTGGTCTATCTGCAAAAAATTAATTCCAGAAGCTCCACACGGAATGAGTGAATATTCCAGTGACCATCATGTTAAAAGTGAGAAAAAGGGGTATGTATCGATAGGTATCCTTTACTTAATTCCAAAAAACTATAATTTTCTACGAAAGGAACAAGGTCCTATGAGCACAAAACCCACGACACTTTTTTCAAAAAATTTTTGAGATAGACCACTTCGCCTTTCAGCCCTTCATATAGACGATCATGACTGACTGACTGACACTAATTCTAACCATGTTCTAGAGAAGTTAGAAACCTGAAACTTGGTACAGATGTACCCTTTGGGATGCATGATTCAATGAAGGAGAGAACTAAAGAAAGTTGAAACTTTGAGCAGAAGTATCTGTTCGATTGCTGAGCACATGTCCTACTTTTCAAATATGTCCCCTTAGGCAGATTAGGAAGAAATTTGAATTTAGGCACACAATAAACAATGGGAGTTATTATTCTGATGAAAATATCAGTTTGTTCTCCCTCGATACACATTCCAAATGGCACGTTCTTTTAATACATTTTTGCCACTTTGAAAATAAGTTATTGAATGAATCACTATCCTGGGAATGGAACGCCGAAGGTGCGACAATAGCAAGTAATAATATATGGTTCTTTCAAGCATGTGTTCTCATTCCTATCCTTAGGCATTTGCCTTGAGAGTTGAGTTTCCTTTGCTCTTTATTGTGTCATTATAAACTTCTGAGTAATAGCTGACAGCTTCTCCCATGCAATGCATTTGCCTTCTTGTTAGATTCATCACAATTAATGACTAGTTATTTGACTTCAATTAGTCTCATTTAGTCAGTAGTTGTCCATTGCTCTTTAAAACTTTTTCTGTCCATCAAGTCATTGCCTACTGCATATTAACCCCTTAACTGGGAACTTTTGAAGGCACATATGCGGCGAGTCCATTTAAGGGGTTAAATAGTATTGTTCTGATCCATCAGCACCTGTTAAAGTCAGCCTCCAATATGACTTCACCTACACCATCGGCCATCAAAAGGTTTTATGTGAGGGGTAGTGTCAACACAGCTGATGATGCTGTCCCTCACATAAAAGAGAAGAGAACCTGTATATATGTGGCCTGGACTTCCAGGCCACATCTTGAGCCAGACTTCCCTCTCTCTTTTTCAAGAAAGATAATTTCAAATTTTTCCAATGCAAAAAAAGAATAAGATTTCATGACATGATCCTGTCATTGATACCTCTTTGGCTGAGACTTGAGTTATGGCATCAGACATTATACTGAAGTTCCTGTTTCTTTTACAAGAAAATGTAGGCATAAGACCAAAGATTTATATAGTGCTAATCAAAAAAATAGTTTTTTCCCTCCTACTGGCAAAAATACATATATATTTTTGAACTGCATGATTCAGCCTTCCTGTGCTGCAGTGACTGTCAAATGATATTTCACATCCTACCATGCTTACACTTATTTTCCAAGAAAGCACACTCATGCTTCTGATCTACTTCATCTAAGACACACTATGGAGAACCAGTGTATTGAGATACTAATAAACTGGCAAAGAAAAGTTGAAACACAGTGAGATGATATATGTATATGATAAAAAATTTACTGGTTTGCTTTTGTTATTCTTTTATTTACCTCATTTGGCATTTGCACCAGCACTGGTTAATGTGTGAGATTGTAACTGACCATGAGCTCTTTAGCCAAATACTGCTATCATGCACCCCTTGCACCAATAGTATTAAATCATGTGATTAATTCATGAGATTCAATACAAGCTCAATCATGTGCTCTTTTGTTTTCCAGCAAGTGTCATTACGAAATCGACAGCTGAAGGAAATCATCGACCACCTGCGAAACATCATTTGGGAGATCAACACCATGCTGGCTATGAGACGGCCATAAAAAAAAAGAAGTTTCAAGTAGGTGATTTGAAGGATCTTCTCTCATCTGTGCACACTTGGTACTGTGCATAGAAAACCTGTTTGGTTTTTTTGAGAGGGGTTTTCTATTTTTTCACCCTTTTTTGTTACGGTTTTTGGTTTTCCATGCCTCTGGTTCATGCTGAGCATGAAATATTATTATTTCTCAAATGTATGCTGTTTCAATCATTCAGACTCCCTCAAGTCTTCCCACAATATCTGGATGAAATAGCTGTTACCAAAAATGCACTACAAACAGCTTAATCAAGAAAGATGCAAATCAGGACTGTTCAGTGGCCACATTTCAGATTCTTTCATGTTTGGACCATTCTTGATGACCTTGTGGCCCAAGACCTACCTGACGTCAATTCCATCTGCCATGGAAAACCACTTGAAAGGGGCAGAAGCACTGCTATTGAACAATTCCAATTAACTCCTTTTGTGATTATGTAGGCAGGGTATAGATTCTGTAAGGTGTAATTGTGAGCTTTTTCCTGAAGGTATCTCTAATGTTTACCCCCAAAAAAGCTGCCGAAGAAGCCCACAAATAATACACCATTCCAAAAATATATAAATTATAGAAATGAAAACTACAGAAGCAGCCGACTAAAAGAATCCTATTCTCTTCATCGACCTATCCAGACTCTTGCAAGAGATCTCATGTATTGTAAACTGAATCAAAGCAGACAAGCTTTCCAGTGATGTAGAATTTGAAATGTTTGTAGAGCATCTGAATCTGAGCAATTACCGGGAAAGGGAAGGACTATCCAAGTCAAAAATTTGAAGGAGCTCTCTGTTTTTCTATTTATAATACCCTATTATTGCTTTGGCACTCCACAGAAATATATAGTACTATGGCAAGTATTTGCGGTAATATAACTTCTCGAAATCGAAATCGCTTTTCTTTTAATTTCGCGATGTTAGTATGTAATTTTTGTTGCTGTATTGAGGAAGTGCAAAATAAATTCTTCGAAGATCACATAGGCTTATTCTTCTATCTGAACTTAAATAAGTAAAAGGTGTAAGAAACCACAACTCCTCCCGGGTTTCATTCCTGCGCTCTCTGCTTCTCCCGTTACATCCTTACGGATCCTGGTCTATAGGGTGGCCGATGTACTTCGCATCATTTTAAAAATTAAAAGCACTTTCGATCGGGAACGGATTCCTCACCTAATGAAGAAAAATATGTTGGAGTGAGAATGGATTAGCAGCCTGGTTCAACCCGGATTAGGAACCTTTCGAAACTATTGGTTTTGATGTCATGACGTTCTCTGGTGGCTTTCTCGAAGAAAGCAGGGCTGGCATCGTCAATGACATCACAACTCATTAAAACCGCCGCGTATATACGTAGAAATCTACTGAATACATACGTACAAATGGAATTCCTACCTGGGGTTAACCCAGGTTTGGAACCCTACTCATTAATCGAAAGGGTGTTCCAAGGAATCGTAACGAT